TCGCATCCCCATCCCGCCTCGTGCTAACGGAGCACGTGTCTGTGATATCATAAGGTACTCTCATACAACCTAGTCATGTATATACATCGTGGAGCAAACGCGTTTCACTATGCACGTGGTGAAGAGGGACGCTGTCTATCATTCAACATTCAACTTCCAACATTGTATTGTCTTGGTTATTTTCCCGCCTTGATCAAACCCATACTAGTAATTGATCCGTCACATACGCCCACTTTCTTCCGCCTGAGCACCCCTGCTCCAAGGTCCTGTCGCTGTTTTCGTTTTCATTTTACCCAATCTGCTTTTGCTTCCACATTATGCTAGTCGTAATCATGGGAGAGACAAAAACATATATCAAAAGATTTGATGCACTCAAAAGTCACAATCAAAAAGAACATGCCTGGCCCCATGTAATGCCGATCTGGGCCGTACGCTACTTATGAATACGCCTTTTGCTTTCAGCTTTCACCGTTCAGGATGGCCTGGGTTTCAGGGTCCACGGGGTCCACGCCACTGGGTTGCTTTGCTCGGAGAGTCAAAGAGAAGGGGTACTCTTCGGGGTCCTCCTCCTCACTAAAGAATCCAACATGTTAGCATAATGTCAACAGTATCATGAAGCACACCAAACGGTAGGAGATACTTACGGCAATTTCCAGGCGACATAGTCCTCCGTGCTCAAGCCCTCTCGCCCCTCTTGCAGACTGGCAAAATCTCCAGGAGTCATCATGCCAGTGCGGTCGCGAGGCGAGCCAGGGACAGAGAATGGTCTGGAGATCTTCTGATCCGGCCCACGGATGAAGTCTTCAACCTCCTCTTCCTCCTCGTCTCCGTCAAACGAGTTGGGGTATGCCCGTCGAAGAGCAAGCTGTCGGGCCTTGATATACTCCATGCCCATGCGCTTCCAGTCAAGCAAGTCGCTGAGTCGCTCAGTACGGTTTCTCTGGTTGATACGCTGACGTCGGCTCTTGTTGCAGTAGTCAAACATGAATTGACTCAGCTGGTTGACGGAATCTTCAACTCCCTTCATTCTTCGGTCTACAATGTAGATACCGTAGTCGCTGGAGTTTTCGATGAGCTCCTCCATGTAACATCCAAAACCAGAGAGGTTAGTGGTGATACTCGGAACGCCCATGACCGTACACTCGGCAGGAGTGTAGCCCCATGGCTCATAGTATGAAGGGAAGACGCCCATGTGGCAACCGCGTACAAAGTCATCGTAATCCAATGGCAGCACGGGATTGGCCGAGTTGAGGAACTCTGGGTGGAACACAACCTTGACACGGTCTGATGGGTGATTGAACAGCTGCACCCGACGAATTTGGGCCAAGACGGGGTCTTCGGTGTCGTTGAGCATGTTGTGGGTGACAATGGGGGGGAGCCCGTGACGCTTCATGGCAAACAGACGCCGACGCAAGAGAACGCGATCCTGGCCGGAAATGAGCTCCTTCTCATCTGGCATTGGGTCGCCCTCATGCCACTTGAGAGACCGCTCAAAGATGCGGCGACCGATGGCTTGCTCAATGATGTTGGTAGTGTCCTTGAGGGATTTGATGACGGCCTGGCCCTTGAGAGCCTCCACAGTCAGTGATGTAGTCTGAGCCGGCATGATGATGAAAGCCACGACAGTCATCTTGCTGCCCGCATCCTTGAGCCGGTGATTGAGACGCGCAAGAGACTCAATGAACATGTCAACACCCTTATTCCGGAATTCGTAGCGCCCAGCAGTGAAGAAGTACAACGTGTTCTCTGGTTCAAAGTCATAGTGGCCGTAGAAGTGACCCCTGACAAAGTCGTGAATCTTCTCCTTGGCCTGCTGGTGCAGGTTTTGGAACTCATGAACTGCCGAGAACTTGGTAACGTTGAGACCGTTGGGAAGCACACCGTCAGGCTTTCTCTTCAAGAGATGCTCTGACTCAAAAGCAGTGATGTGGGAGACAGTTGTAAAGACGTCACAAGAATGAGCAGCAGCACGTTCAATGCAATACCGGTGGTAGATACCACGCTTTCCAGCCTCGGCATCGACATCAAAGAACTGCAGATTGTTGTAGAAATCAACAGAGCCGGCACAGAGATATCGCCCTAAGAGAGTGGCATGGGTGGTGAAGATGGTCGTAACATCAATCCGTCTCTTCTTGGTAAGGGGTAGAGCAACGCCAGCTAGCCACTCGTGGAAATGGGCAATGACAGCCTTTTCCTTTTCGTGGCATACAAACTAGTACTTGCATGTTAGCGGGAGCCAATCAAGTTTCAAGAAAATAACAAGAGACGGGAAGAATGTAACTCTGGGGTTATGGGGATGAGAGAAAAAAAAAGTTTTCTTACCTCTCCAAGAAACCACGCCACCAAGTATCCAAACACAACAGCCTCATTGGTTTCATCGTCGTCAGGTGGGGACGGGATGCTGGCCACAGACCAGAGGTCGGACTTCCACTCGTTGACAAAGTTGTAGGCTGTCTTGGTATCAATCAAGAGAACCCTGGGGGCGCCCTCAATCAGCCAGCGGCCGTACAGCATGCCAATTCCCCGATCCTTCATGGTCTGCATGGTGGCGGCCAGCTCCTTATTGGTGGGCTCCATCTCTTCGACCTCGACTGCGGCCTGTTTGTCATCAGTTGATGCCCAACTTTGAGTTATTAATTTAATTTTTTTTGCAAGGAAGAGGGCGCACCGATTGGTGGTTGAGTGGACCGATAAGCGTGTATCGATCGCCATATTCAGCCGTAGTAACCGGAGCCTTGGATTTGAGCACAGAGTAGATACCACCGACTGTCAAGCAGATCACATGTTAGTGTGGCGAGTTCTTGAGATGTTTTTTGGTCCAGCATTGGGCAGAAACGGGCGCAGAGGCAGAAGCGACCCATGGCCCGCGGGCAGAATGCGACTCACCTCGATGAGCTACTTCCGTAGCAATCTCAAAGAGAAGGTGGTTCTTGATGTCGCGAACCGGGTGTCCGTCGGCCATTGCGTCGTTCTGAACTGTAGACTATCGCAGAGGTGGTTGGACAGCGGTGATAGCTCCGGCGAGAAGCCTCTGCCACGAGCCGGCAATTCAGATGACGTATGTATTAGGGTTGCGCGAGTTCGCACAAGCTGGACATTGTAATTGTAAGCCTTTGCGCGCGTGAAGGCCAGCAGGATGCAAGATGGCAACTCACCGGGACTGTAGCTACCACGAAAAGCGAAGAAAAACTTGTGTCTGGCACGGCCGAATTTCGGTGCGAGATATTGTGGTGTGATTGGGTTTAGCTGGTAGCTTCTTGGTTCTGGTGGCGTCAGAGCTTAAGAAAGCGGCTGGATGGTTCTGCGTGCGGCAGAGGATGCTGGCAGCGAGGCAAGACAATGGCTGAGGCCGTGAACCACCGACACTGGCTCCAGACAGGCAAAGGACAGTTGAGGCAGAATCTGAGGCTTTAGTATGAACAGTAGCGATAGAAAACAAGATCAGGCCGGGAGGGGGAGAAGAACTTGATGAGGGACTTGGACTGAAGCTTTGGAGGGGTGCAACAAAAAGAAGTGGGGACCTCTACTCTCCAAAGGTGCTAAAGGTGGCGGGTCTGGGGTTATGCAACAAGGCCGTAAAGTGGAGAGCGCGCGGTTGGGCTACCACTAACAGCGCAGCCCGAGCGCTGTTACTGCGCTGAGTTCATGTATGCGTTTTATATGTGCAGTTGCTGCATGCGGATCACGGGAGAAGGAATCTGGAATGGTGTCGTCAGTGGCATCATCCGCTTATCTAAGGAGCGGGCTTCTTTTTATGCCATATATATGCCACCTATAACATTATGCCATTATGAATACTTGCTTAGGGCTACTACCTTTTTTTCGTTCCTACCGTTAGAGGCACTTCTCCTCCATGCCTACGGACACATGTGCCTACAACAATGCTCCGTCCTGCGCCTTCCACCAATAGGCTTGCATGGTTCCTCACCTAGCGTGGCCGCCACGCAACGCCGTTCACCATCAAAGCTACTGACGCCTCTTCTCCGGGCAGCAGCAACCGCAGATTCTAGGTTCATGTCCCTGCATCGGGTCAACCGCGGACAGGTGAGATGTCAAGTTGATCTCGTGCACTATCCCTAGCAGTGTGGGGATGACGCCATGGATTGCGGGGGAAAGATCAAAGTTGAGCGACCAGAGGCTCGGATTGGCTGGTGTAGACGCATTGGCGATGGGATATCTTGGACGGTTCCCACGAGTTTATCCATTGCCCCCAATGGGAGGCGACCTGATGCGAGAGTTGCATTTGTCGTCATGGCATTGGCTCTCTTGCTGGCTGCATTGCGGTGCTGCGGCCCATGGCCATTGTGGCCATCTTGGCGGCTTGGGTTGTATTCGGGACTCAATCTGCAAGTTGGTGACGCCAAACTGCATTACAATGCCAAGACTATTCTGCACTACGAGTGATCTGATATATTCCGAGCAGGATCTGCCTTGAACTTGTCCAACACTCACATATGACGTAGGCTGGAACTTGAACTTGTCTGTGATGCCCTCAAGCGTGTTGGTTAGTTGGCTATAAGCTGACTATTCCGTCTCCAGTATAGATCTCTGTGATCAATTCCCCGGATGACAAGGATAGTCCATCTTGGAGCGGCCAAGAAAGATATCGGTCCACACATTGTTTCCCACTTCTTTCAACCACTTGTCTCACTCTGTTATGCTTTTTGGCGTCCTAGAGCATCATTAAGCGGTCTAGATGCAGCTTAGCGTGCATTAAACCACGCCTTCAGCCTTGTATGTTCTCGATCTCAATTGGCTCAATGTTTCAGCCATGAGCCCCGCAGTGGATCAGCCATTCGCAAGGCTGCGCCGCCCATTCCAAATTTTTTTGAGATTCTCTGGTCTACCCATGCACAGCACTGCCATCGATTTGCGCCGGGACGACAATTTCGTTTGGCACAATCTCAAATTTCCCGAATCTGAAAACCTTCGGACATTCTGCTATACAAAACACTCATAGAAACGCTCTGAAATCTTCTATTGAAATTCTTCCTACCACAATGGATGCCTCATCTGCTCAGGTGAAGGTCGTCTTCACCACCAACGAGGAAGATCTCGTCCTCTCAGAGTCCAGAAGACAATTGCTCGTACCGGCAGGTGAGAATCTACAAAAAGAAAATGTTACAGAGGCTAGAGAGAGAATAAAAGAAGCTAATTTCGAATTCTTACATCGCAGACATCAAGCGCTATGGCCTCTCCCGCATTCTGAATTCCGAGTCGATGCTGGATACTTCCTCGCCAGTCCCTCTCGACTTCCTCGCAAACGGCACATTCCTCAAGACGAGCATCGAAGAATACCTCAAATCGAATGGCCTTTCTCAAGAGACAACCTTGACTCTCCAATATGTTCGCAGTCTCCTCCCGCCCGTTTACGAGGCTAGCTTCGAGCACGACGACTGGGTCAGTGGAGTTGACGTCTTGTCATCGACTTCTGCTGCTGGACTGCTTGCTGGAGATGCTGTTGTGAACGAGCGAGTTGCTAGCGCTTCTTATGATGGTCTGGTGAGAATCTGGAACCCCTCTGGAACCGCGATTGCCGTCTCTGCTGGTGGCAAAGGTGAAGGACACACTCAGCGCATCAACGCTGTGCGATGGCTGTCTTCGACTCAGCTGGCGTCAGCTGGCCTGGATAGAAAGGTCATGGTCTGGGACTACAAAGAGGCAAACGATGGCTTCTCTGGCTCTCTTAAACCCAACATGGAACTTTGGGGGCATGAGAAGAACATCAACAGCATCGATGTCAACGGTTCTACCCGACGTATCCTAACGGCGTCCTCAGACGGTCGCGTTGGCCTGTGGTCCGCTTCCAAGAGGACAGCACCTCAGGCTGATCCCGAGACTCTCCCCTCCGCTCATAGCACCAAGCGAGCTAAGCTATCCAACGCTGGCTCTACTGCTCAGCGTGGACCTTTGGCAATGATTCCTCTGCACGACGAATCGGTTACTGCTGCTATTTTCCACCCCAAGGATTCGACCGTCGCTTACTCGGCTTCTTTGGACCACACAGTCAAGACGATCGATCTCACAACACAACAAGAGGTGTCCCGCCTCACTACCATGCACCCCATCCTCTGCGCAACAGCACTCCCTGGCGCAAACCTAGTAGCGGCTGGTTCCTCGGCGCGACACATCACCCTGCTCGACCCCAGAGAGTCGGTTGCCGCAACCGCGGCCATGACGCTCCGAGGCCACGTCAACATGGTTGTCTCCGTGGCTCCCTGCCCGGAGAATGACTACTCGCTGGTCTCTGGCTCGCACGACAGCACGTGTCGCGTGTGGGATCTGCGTAGTTCCCGGACCGCATCATCTGATGAGGGCAACGGCAATGTCAGCGAGCCCGTCTATACTATTGGCCGAGAGTGGCTGAAGGGCAAGAAGCTGCCTCCTGCTGGCGATGGCGCCAAGGTGTTGAGCGTGGTGTGGGACAAGACATGGGGAATTGTGAGTGGAGGAGAAGACAAAAAGGTGCAGATCAACAGAGGTACAGGATTGCTGGCGTTATAGACTTTGTTTGTTTCATTTCATTTCAGGCTTGAATATACCAGGACTATAATAATTATCTAAAAGTTACAGCTATTTGTCCGTCAAATGTTCTTCATTCGTGTGTCTCGTTTGCTTTCTCTATACCCCGTTTCATCTCGTCTGCTAATTTTGTACATTCTTGAACCAATGATGCATGCTTAGCCCAAAATGACCTGCTCAAGTCAACGTGAGGGAGCACTTCTTTGTGTAATCTAAGTACGGGATAAGGCAGGTTCTCGGCCTTTATAGCGTCAAGCACATAATGCGCAACAGTGCTGGTCAGTAGTGGCGGTTCTCGCAGGAGCGCTGCGATGTCGCCAGGACAGAGGTCCTCGTTTCGATGCCAAATGTAGTATGCTCTAAGACATGGCGCGGGTGTTTTGAGCTCGGTCGTTTTGGCCGCACGATATTCTTTCATTTGCACCTCGGCTGCAATGACCCGCGCATCTCTAGTATCGACGGGTATGGATTTGGGCAATGAGCGTCTTGATCTTGCTCTAGATGGTGTAGGGGCTTTTGTTGCCGAAGCTTCTGTTGTGACTCCTGCTGTTGAAACTTTTGCTGTTGTAATTTCTGTCGTTGTGACCTCTGTAGTTGTGATCTCTGTTGATGGAACTTTAGGTTTAGGAATCCTAGGTCTGGGAGTCTTAGGTTTAGAGATGGCATTTGTTTCATTGGGGTCTGCTATTAGAGCAGCAGCCTCATCAGCTTTCTTCTTGGCTTCTTCTGGGGGATCAGGAAGAGAAATAGGCAGCCGCAGCTCCGCATGATGTGGTCTGGGAGGACAAGGGACGAGCATCTTTCGCTTCTCTTCAAGTACGTAGTAAAGCTGGAGACCGGCATAGGCGTCGGATGCGGAATCTATAATCAATTAGCCATTTTTGTTCTCCAGCGATATTGTAGAGTTACTCTTCTCATACAGTCAATCTGTTGTGGATTTAGCCGCCTCATCCAGTTGCCAGTCCGTACCTCTCCCTTGTATAAAGGAAGCAGTAATTGGTCTTGGACCTGAGTAGCCAGCGATACCAGTCCCTTGTGGATCAAGCGGCGCTCGTGCGGGAAATGCTTGACGATCCTGTAGAGATGGCTCAATTCAAATATGCCTTGGACATTGACGCCGAGGTGGTTCTTGAGACGCGTGCAGTCTGGCCCGATGTTGACGCCGACTTTGCTCACTTTGGGATCCTCCATGATTTTGCGAAACGACGGCGGCACAAGGTCTGCACCGTACTTGAATACTGCTATATGAAACAAGGCAATGCGACTCGGGCTCGCGATCTGAATGAGAGAGACGTTGCGTCGCGGCCCATCCGCCGTCCTGGCGTATGCCATCCACTCTAGATCCAGGCCAATGACATCTTGGTCTAGGAAATACTCTGTGCACACCCGCTCCATGGTGGCTTTACTTTCACAATAATGGACCTTGACGTTGTCAACGGCCCCCTTCTCACCATTTCGATGGTACATGGTATATGACCAGTGAGACTCTGGAGTGCCAGGAACGGCAGCACGAGCGGCGAGAAACTGCTCTCTGGAGATGTTGAACTCCAGTGGTGTAAATGGCGGCTCGACGGCCGCCTTTGTGCCAAGCCCACTGTTGGATGTGGCGACGCTGTTGATTGCATCGGCCGCGACATTCAAGCCGGGGAGAGAAATCGGCGGCCGCCCAGCATGTGTCGGCCGGCGAGTATCAAAAGCAGCGACATCTGTTGAATATGATGATGGCGACAGGGGGTCCTCAACAGCCCCGACCGAGAATACGCCTGTTTGCGTTGAGCTTACAGAGGTCCAACTCTCGTCGCTTTGGACGGAGGAAAAAGAATGATGGAGCGACTGGGCTATAGTAGAAGCAGTAGTAGTTGTAGCAGTAGTTGTAGCAGTAGTTGTAGCAGCAGTTGTAGCAGCAGTTGTAGTTGTAGTATTAGCAGTATTATTCGCTTCTTGACGCAGCGACGCCAGCGCCCCGAAGCGAACGCCAAACTGAGAGTTCCATAGCTGGTTGGGAGGGTTGAAGCTCATGGCTCTATTATACGCAGGCAGCCTCTGGAGGCGGTTGTACATGTAAACAGGCGACGCATGCCTCGCAGCCGGACGACGACGGGTTAAATAGGAAACGGGTCCAAGCCCGCTACTGGATATGCACCTCGACATCAACCCGCCCCCATTGCGAGCAAGCCCTTCAGCTTCTGTTACAGGGCCTTCGCAGTGAGCCGGCCGGGGGTGGAAGAGCTGAGTCTGTGAAAAAATGATGATTGGCCGCCAAGGCAACCATCACGTCTCAGCGCGCTTACTTGAAGCAATAGGCGGGTGCACGAGGAGGAGCACGAAAATGCACGCTGTATGCGTGCTTAGTCACCCATCGTGGGGCACGGCTTTCTGTGCTTGTTGCAAATCTGCCTAGCGCTGGGCCAGCTCGCCCTGATGCATAGCAACTACTGAGGAATGAGAGATTCATCTTCTGCAAAGAGAGGCCCAGGATTGAGCTTGTGAGAATTTCACTATTTTCATCAGATCAGATACCATCAAAGCATTCACGCAATTGGAAAGGCACTACGCGAGGAGCTTCTCAAGATGGCGTCACAGCTGCTACCCCTCGGTGAGTCCCTCTGCTGAGCCTCATGCTGGCCTATCTTATGCCACTGACACCTCGCTTTAGAGCTTATCGACAAGTGCGTCGGATCAAAAATATGGGTTGTCATGAAGGGAGACAAAGGTGACAACATACATGCTCGTCTCTTACGCTTGATGTGGTATTAACGTCTTGGGCAGAATTTAGTGGCACGCTCATGGGTTTTGACGACTACGTCAGTAAGTGGACGCCTCAATCAATTATTCATCCGCCACCCGAAAATTTGTAACTGACAAGATTTTAGATATGGTGCTGGAGGATGTGACAGAATTGTGAGTTTTGAGAGTCATCTTACAATAGATTGTTGTGCTGACTCTTCATCTTCTTTTTCCCCAATTAGCGACTACTCTGGAACCCACACAAAGCTTCCTAAAATTCTGCTCAACGGCAACAACATCTGCATGGTATGGCCAACAACCCCTTATTGCTTGACGTGATATCACATAAGCTAACGCAGCTTGACAGCTGATTCCCGGTGGAGAAGGACCAGTTGGTGCCGCAGCTTGAGAAATGAGAGCGTAAGGCATGTCTATCTTCACATCGGCACATGGTATATTACCCCATTGTGCAATCATATATTCATTGTTACGCATCTTATGGCAAAGAAAAAAAAAACAATATAGTTATCTCAGAATATTAGTTACTGATTGCTGGAAAGGATCGCCGCTTTTTAGCTGGCCTTGAATATCCTTGTAAACAGATTCTTGGTTGAATAATATCAAGCTTATTTCCCCCCTGGTCCAAACAAAACCGAAATGCAAAGCCCAAATCTTTCTGTCCCCCTAACGCCTGTCTATGAGACAATCTGATGAAAGTCTTGTTAATGGCCATTCGATGGCATATTTCCCTGGTCTCCAGTGTTGGTGATTCGTCTCAGCTCCCACTCGCGAGTGAACTCCTGATACAACATCTCGAGTTGGTTGATGAGCTTTTCACATACTGACGTGAAAACGTCGCGTGGTGAAATGGTTCCGTCTGTTTGAAGGCGGATGTAGAGCTCAGGGACATTAGGATGAGCAACTACCATAGGTGTTAGTATGGTTAAGCCCGCTTGCCTTTGAAATCAATTCTCACTCTTATATCCCGCCATATAGACGTTGGGGTGGGCTTTGAGGTGCTCAGCGAGCAGGTTGCCCAGCGTGTGATCCTCTTTCTTTAGGACAAAGTCGGAGGTGTTGGACATGCCTATGGAGAATTATTAGACATGCATTTCGAGTTGTCAAGAGTGACGAATGTCCACCCACCAGAGTAAACCTTCTCCTCAATCTTCTTCTCGCCATCGGCGAGCAAGAAGAGCTCGAAACTAAGTCAATGTCAGCAAATTATCAAGAAAAAAAAAGAAAGTAGAAATGCAAACGAAGGAAAGACGCAACGGATTGTCTTGAAGATTGTCATGTTTGGCATTGCATCCCGCCATGGCCACTAACAGTTGGAGATGGATCGATGAAAATAAGAAGGGAGATGATGATCGAAGAAGGACAGCATCGATGAAATAGAGCAGAGCAACTTGAAGTGAGAAGGTAGTGGGAATATAAAACAGCCAGAGTGCTTGCAAACAATATTTCCAGCTGCATAAATTCCCCGTAGTTCCAGAAAACAAGCAAGCTCAAAGTGAGGGCAGGAACCACTTGCAGCTGGCGAGCTATAGCTGCTGGAAACGCACTTGCACACAGCAGTATGCAGAAGGCTAATAAGCATAAATGGAGTGATAATATCCGCCTGTAACAACACAGCCCCAAAGTGAAAGACGTAGTCCTGGCCTGCCTCCTTGGCTCCGGCTTTCGAGTGCGAAGGCGTTCTGCTCCAGGGGTCCATCACCAGGCCACGGAAAGAAATCCAACAGAAAAAAAGCAAAGTACAATGATGGGAGATGAAACATACCGATCAGGTGCGTTCATTTTGATAAAAAATAGGAGGTTTTAGCAAGGAGTGCCCGATGGCTCACTCAGGAACGCGTGGAATGAAATCTCGTGGCAAGGCTGCCGTGGTAAGGGATACCGCTAAGAGCACCGTCGAAAAAGCTGAAAATATGAGATGATCGTAGTTTTATCGTGTAATGTTTATTGTAGATTCTCTCTGATAATCCAAAAAAGAAGTACTCTTGTCAAAATCTGGTTTAGGAGGGTTCTCTTGCCATTATCGTTCGAGAATGCTTATGAATGTCGCAGTTCGAAAAGACCCTTGGAGGATGACATTGGCGGCGAGTTTGGTAGTGCAGATCGGCTAATAGCCGGCTATTTATTTTTCACCCCACTACTTGCTCCTCAGCCTAGAACCTTGGACTGCTTGCACCTAGCCGCAGCATTTCGCCGTCCACAATTCTGGCTTTCAACCAGTAGATATGCCCGTCTTTTAAAATAGGTAGGGCCAATGCCGCGAATCTCGCCATGGCTCTTCCGCAAGGCCAATCGCCACTCTCCCAATGTCGCTGCATTGCTTCCAGCATGTAGAGACATTCCTTCTGCCGTCAACGAACTGCGATGGCTGAAAGAACATGTCAACGGCACTGCACACATTGCCAAAGAAAGCTTGCTCGCACGGCTGTGCACGAAGAGGGGGCAAGGCTATCCTTTGCAGTACATCTTGGGATCCCAGCCATTTGGGCCTCTCGATATCAAATGTCGCTCTGGTGTTCTAATCCCAAGACCTGAGACTGAAGCGTACACCTATCACCTTGCTTACCTGATCAAGTCTGAGAGCTTGAAGATTGGTGGCCCGAAACGCGACTTGGGTATTGTCGACTTCTGCACGGGGACAGGATGTATACCCCTGCTTCTCTATGCATTACTTTGTCCGAAGTTTGATCATTTAGAGGTCCTTGGAGCGGATATATCTACTCAAGCTATAAAGCTAGCCAGGAACAATATCGACCACAATATCAGGCTTGGCCATCTCCCAGACCGTCAGCTACATCACAACCTTGGCATCGTGCAGGAGGATATCTTCCAGAATGAAATCATAGAGAAGCTACAGGAACGTAAATGGGATGTGATGGTGTCTAACCCTCCCTACATCTCCCGGCGAGCGTGGAATTATGGCGGTGGCCAGGTTGGACACTCTGTTCACAAATACGAACCGTCTCTAGCTCTGGTTCCAGGCGATGATGTTCTGGTTCCTGTAGATTGGAGCCACGAGGATGTCTTTTACGCGAGACTTTTGGAGATTGCAAGCCACCTCAAGCCGAGAGCCATACTGTTAGAGATTGGTGACAGAGAGCAGGCTCGTCGCGTCATATCCAGATTTTTTCAACACAATCTGTCAAAGAATTCTGAGGTACAAGTCTGGAGAGACTGGCCCGATTTGGCTTCAGCCGCGGACAAGGACTGTATACTGGAAGTTCCAGTGCAAGATGGATCCAGCCGAGCAATCCCGATACAAGGCGATGGCAACATACGATCCATTTTCATCAGGCTAGATGCATAAATATTGGATGTTTTCTTGCAGGCAATATGTAGATACAAATTAAATCACTGGAATAATAGTAATCTACTGCCTTGGAAAGGTATGGGAAGCACCTAGAATTAGAGCCCGGAGTTTGGACGGCGGAATCCCGATCCACCGAGGGCCTGCACAGCGTCGGAGAATATCACGTGATGCCGTTCAATTTTCGGGATTAGACGTGGATCCTCGGCCGGCAGGCTTCAGTCTCGTAGTGTCATACAAGTCCGCAGTGGCGTTGGAATATCTCAGTTTTCTCTTAGCATCTATCGGTTGCCTGGCATCGTCATATCCGAGCTATCAAGCGCAATTCTGCGCAGCTAGTGAGATTGCGCTGCACTGCGCAATTACCATAAAACCAGGACCGGCGGATCCGCCGTCAAGCTCACAACCCGCCGCCATCCACCATGTCACGATATCTTCGCCAGTCGAGCCAGCTCGCCAAGCTGGCAAGGTTCTCGACCAGCGTTAGCTTGCAGAGGACACAAAGGCTTGTCGCCAGCTCCAGGACAGCTCCTCTGAGAGCATTGTCTGCGCACAACGGCATCCTCCCGCGATACTATTCCTCCAAAACCCCGCATCCCGATGAGAATAAAAGCTCCGACTCTGGAAAACAAATCAACCACAATGATGCTAAATCAGAGACGGAGGGTGGGCCGGAGTCGCAAAAGGTGCCCTTGCCACCTCTACCGGAGGGCTGGATTCGCCTGACCAAGGAAGAGATATCGCAGCTGCAGGCATTCCAAGAAATGCTCCCCGAAGGCCAGAGGCAGACGTTGAAGGATATTTTGGTGGGGCTCCAGCACACCGGTGCACCGGCCGAGATACGAGATCTGCTGCAGAAGATGCGCCAAGGACCTGGCAACTTGTCAATCATCGACAAGGGCCGGCTGATGCGATGCGTCTTTGTCATGGCTGAACGAGTGGCGGAATGGGAAATCGAACAGCAGCAACAAGGAAAGAAGGGCATGTTTGACCAGAACACCAATGAAATGAATGAGCACAGCTATGGAGAGAAGAAAGAAGGTGCAGCCCAATCACACAAAGCTTCTAGCGATTCACATTCCAAAGAGCAAGGTTCAGACCCCAAGAAACCCGAGAGGAACTCGTGGATGGATGCCCTCCAGACTGGTCTCGTCCTCGGTATCACGCTTTGGGCAATCGAGTCATTCAGCAGGCCCTTCTCTGAGAAGGAAATCACCTGGCAGGAGCTACGAAAGGCTTTCTTGGACAAGGGTCTTGTACAGAAACTTGTGGTCGTCAATGGATCACAAGTGCGCGTGGAACTGCACCCTGATGCTGTTCAGTCCACATCCGATGGTTCTGGCGCCAGAAGAACATACATCTTCTCCATTGGGTCCGTTGAATCTTTCGAGAAGAAGCTCGAAGAAGCTCAGGATCAATTGGGCATTCCTCCGTCCGAGAGAATACCTGTCAGCTACGAAGCGGGTGGCAGCACTATGGGCAATCTAGTTCTGGCATTCGGGCCAACGCTCCTATTCATCGGTTTGATTTTGTGGACACAGCGATCCATGAGCGGACGGGCAGGCGGCGCTGGAGGCATGTTCAACTTTGGAAAAAGCAAGGCCAAAAAGTTCAACGCCGAGAGCGCAGTCAAAGTCAAGTTCAGTGATGTTGCTGGTCTGGAGGAAGCCAAGGTGGAGATTATGGAATTCGTTAGCTTCTTGAAGCAGCCTGAAAAGTTCGAGAAGCTGGGTGCCAAGATTCCTCGAGGTGCCATTCTCTCTGGCCCCCCAGGAACAGGAAAGACTCTTCTCGCCAAGGCTACTGCTGGAGAGTCTGGCGTACCTTTCTATAGCGTGAGCGGTTCTGAGTTTGTGGAGATGTTTGTTGGCGTGGGTCCTTCTCGAGTACGAGACCTGTTTGCTGAAGGTCGAAAGAACGCGCCTTGTATCATCTTCATTGACGAAATCGATGCCATCGGCCGTGCTCGACAGGAAAGCGGCCGTGGATTCGGCGGAAACGATGAACGCGAGGCTACCCTCAACCAGATTCTTACAGAAATGGACGGATTCAACACTCGAGAACAGGTCGTTGTCTTGGCCGGTACCAATCGTGCTGATGTCTTGGATAAGGCGCTGATGCGTCCCGGCCGTTTTGACAGGCACATCTACATTGACCGACCTACTATGAAAGGACGGCAAGAAATCTTCCAAGTTTATCTCAAGAAGATTGTCACCAAGGAAGATCATGAACACCTCATTGGCCGACTTGCTACCTTGACCCCCGGCTTCTCTGGTGCTGATATCTCCAATGTTGTGAACGAAGCAGCTCTAATTGGTAAGTAATAACGTCAAGTGGAATATCTTGGATCTTTAATGCTAATAGCTTAAATAGCCGCGCGAGAGAACGCAGACGACGTCAAGATGGTACATTTCGAACGTGCAATTGAGCGAGTCATCGGAGGCTTGGAACGCAAGTCACTCGTACTCAGGCCGGAAGAGAAGAAGACTGTGGCCTATCACGAAGCTGGACACGCCATCTGTGGCTGGTTCCTAAGGCACGCCGATCCCCTTCTCAAGGTCTCAATCATTCCCCGTGGCCAGGGCGCTCTAGGCTATGCGCAATACCTGCCTCAGGATGCTTACTTGATGAACACCGACCAGCTCATGGACCGAATGGCCATGACTATGGGAGGGCGTGTGTCTGAAGAGCTGCATTTCCCCACAGTAACGACCGGCGCCAGTGATGACTTCAAGAAGGTTTCCTCAATGGCACGCAGCATGGTCACTCAATGGGGTATGTCGGACAAGGTGGGACCAGTGCATTTTGAGAACGACCCGAACCGCATGGTCAAGCCGTTTGCCGAGGCTACGGCTCAGCAAATTGACCAAGAGGTGCACCGGATAGTAGAAGAAGCTTATACTCGATGCCGAAACTTGCTGGCGGAGAAGAAGGAGCAAGTCGGGCTAATTGCTGAGGAGCTGCTGAAAAAGGAGGTTCTCTCTCGCGATGACATGGTACGAATTCTGGGCAAGCGACCATTCGACGACAATGAGGACTTTGAGAAGTTCTTTGGAGGCAAAGAGGCGAGCGCTCCGCCACCTTTCCCTGCTGAGACAGACACGCCGAAGGAGGACCCGCCCTCCGGTACGCCTGCTCCTGCGTTTCGCGATATTTCAAATGACGGATCGGGCGTCAAGAGGTGATTTCGCCCAAGATTGGAATCCTCTGATGTGAGAAATGAGCATAAAGATCGAGGAGGTACGGGTGTTAGTGGGAATGGAGGAATAAGGGATGCTGCCGGGAACTTGACGACATGTCCGGATTGGCTACTGCCGCTATACTTCGCCAGCGCAGCGGGAAACAAAATCCCCGCTACGTTCATGGCTAAAGACGGCGGCCTGTGTTTTAATTTTTTTTCTACGAGTCTCAACTCTACCGTGGGCACTGGAGATGTTTAAAAATTTCCACTGTATGTACTTTTACCATCATCATATTAGGGGTCTAGCGGGAAAAAGGAAAAAGGGGGGGCTTTTTTGAACTTTAACTGTGTACTTGTACCTGGATTTAGAACCGTAGATAAATCTAAAGGATGAAAAATCATGCAGAAGAGGGTTGAAGGAGCTTCGGTGAAGAAATGCCCGTACATTATGGGATGTAGTTTTAAGGAGTACGTTGTATAAGTCATTGACGTGTGTGATTTGGGCACAATTTACCTCCAGTGCCTAGCACGAGCTATTCAGCCTTGTCTTATTACATGGGTCGGCAGCGTTGTATGGCCACGACCATCCGCAAGCGAAGATGCACATGGATGTTGGTTGAGGTGCCATGCATCATCTAACAATCTATAAGATACATAAAGGCGAATTCTATTATCTTTGCCAAACTATATCTGGCAGTCCGGGTAAAAATCTTGGCTACGGCACCGGGCCGAAGGTGATTGGGCGGCAAAGTTCCTCCCCCCCGGAGCGGCGCTAATAGAGAAAAAGCGATGGCTACACGGCGGGAAACCTTTTTTTCCTACAATACTTATGGGGCTCATAAAGTGGCGATATGCCGGGATGCTGAGATCCGAAAATGGATGCCGAGACTCTTGCTTTTGATCTGTGGTATTTTGAAAAATACAGAAATTGCCAAAAATGGGTATCCTTGAAATTGCCTATCGCGGTAAGCGACTTCTTCGAGCATTATCGAGTTGATGGTATTGGGGCCTGATATTAAGTGTCGAATGTTTTATACGCCCAGAATACATATCAGGCTGGGGGAGAAAAAGACGGGGCTTGCAATAGTTGCAGTTACCCAAGAGATGCTATATGAAGTTCCCCGCACCAATTCAAGAATACCACGATTGGATGTGAGCCACTGTTTGCTGGTTGGTGGTAAAAGATCTCTCTCATTCGTACAGTACCTAATTGTTACTAAGTGCTCGGTGTTAGGCATGACGATTTAGTAGCAGGTACTGGCGCTGGCGGCCGCTAAGTGAGGAGAGTTCGGACAAGTGAGAGATTGCTGCGGTGGACTTTTAGATTCCCTGCTATATGAGGCTACCAGATGGTCTATAAGCCTTTCTCTTATTAGTGTAGTGTTTTATCTTGCGCAGTTTGTCGCCCGCTGAGAGATGTCTCGAATGGACTGCGGCTCTACCCTGGGCATTAGCTCGCATCCTGCTGTCAAAAGGAAAGACAGGGGTATATTGCGAAGAGATATGGGGGGAATTCTAAATTTTTGGATGATGTCATTCAACCTGAAATTGCCTGCCATATATTCTGTGTAATAGATACGTGCTTTAGCACATGTAAAGCAGGAGGGAAAAAAAGGTACCGACTTAGTAGCACGAATGAAGTCGACCAACAACACTCCTGCCATGTGGAGGGTCAAAAATGCGGTAAACGGCAGCAGGGCCTAAACCTTCTTGGGAAATGTTTCACGTCTCCAGTGCGTAATGCTAATCCTAGTGTTGGCGCCGCCTTCCGATCTCGAATCTAACAGCCAGGGAAGAAAAAAGAGAGGTGAGGAAAAAAAATGACATGGGCTTCTTCTCTAGGCCGAATTGTGTGTCCAAGAGAAAATAAAAGACAAGCAATCATTGGCTCCTTTTCCTCTGCTGCATGCAGTCAATTTGTGGTGCCAGCTAATACTGCAGTGGAGGATCTGCTCTTTGCCTGAGCAGGGGGGTGTTGACAAGACTCCCTTGTTACACTCCATAAAAGCGTCGACCAAACTCTCGGTCTCTGCTTTTTCTGCCTCGAATCGCCACGCTCTTCTGCGTGCAGACTCTTTTGCTGCCTCGATGTCTCTGTTATGAGGAGATAGCTGCCTTTTGGTTTAGCGACTCACAGAGAGCCTGGCATTTTGGTCTTGGCATATTCTGCGCCGAGAAGCGGTATCGACAGCACGAAGTGGACGCAAACACCGAGACATTGTTCACGATGGCCAATCTCGCGGGTGAAGGGATTCCTGACAGAGACATAGGAGGAGTGAAGCACCACGACCAGCTGCCCGCCATGACAACAGCGGCAGCATCAACGTCAACACCAACCCCAAGAGGCGGCGATGCGTCGAGATCGACGACACGGCGGAACGAGGCCTGGTGGAGCATCCATCCCTTCCGTGGCATGGTCAACGATATCCGTCGCAGAGCGCCTTACTACGTGAGCGACTGGCTCGACGCGTGGGATTATCGAGTGGTGCCCGCCACAGTGTTCATGTATTTTGCAAAGTACGCCGTCAATGACCCCTTTCCTTTGCCATGCCCAATGAATTGTCTTTTAAGCAAAGAAGCGGCCATTTGCACATCATTCATGGACACTCACTAACACGTCTATGCCGTCAACAGCATTCTACCCGCGCTTGCTTTCTCGCTAGACATGTTTCAGAATACGGGATCCAACTACGGCGTCAATGAAGTTCTGCTGGCTTCTGTGCTGGGCTCCGTTGTCTTTTCCATCTTTTCTGCCCAACCACTTGTTATTGTTGGAGTAACTGGTACGTTGCTCTCTGTGTTCAATAATTAACACCTTGATACTGATTCTAGCGTTCCATAGGCCCCATTACGGTGTTTAATAGGTACGAGAGGCACTGAGATATAAGCCATCTGGCAACATTCACCTAATAACTGACCTTTTACAGTACGGTATATAATATCATGAAACCAACTGGTGTCAATTATCTCGGATTCATGGCTTGGATAGGAATGTAAGCTTCAACACCATGCCCAGACTTGACACACTATTAGTAGGCCTACTAACTAACAACTTTCTTATCCAGATGGTCTCTAATTTTACACTGGATCCTTGCTATCACCAATTCTTGCAACTGGCTTCGCTGGGTCACACGATTCCCCTGCGACATCTTTGGCTTCTACGTAGCCTTCATCTATCTCCAAAAGGGCATTCAAACTCTGGAGCGTCTTGGTAGCGACAGCGCCTTCTATCTCTCCATTGTCGCAGCGTTGCTGCTATTTATGGTGGCTTATATTTGCAGTGAACTTGGATCCAGCAGTCTCTTCAGACACCCAGTTCGTGTCTTTTTGAAAGACTATGGAACACCACTGACTCTCGTTTTCTTTACCGGCTTTGTACACATTGGCCGTATGTCCGAGGTGCACTTGGCGGTGCTCCCAACCAGCAAGGCGTTTGAGCCTACAGCGGATCGGGGCTGGGCTGTTAATTTCTGGGACTTGAGCGTTGGACAAATATTCACTGCGCTACCATTTGCCATCCTTCTGACTATTTTGTTCTGGTTTGACCATAATGGTATGACTACTCCTATACATTGTTACAACTCAATTTTATGGGATGTGTTTATTAACGCTGCTATAGTGTCGTCCCTCATCGCACAGGGAAGCGAGTTCCCCCTGAGAAAGCCGGCTGGATTCCATTGGGACTTCTTCCTTCTCGGCATCACCACTGGAGTGGCCGGCATCCTCGGATTGCCCTTCCCCAATGGGCTTATTCCCCAAGCCCCTTTTCACACAGAATCCCTTTGCGTCACCAAAGCTGTCAAGCAGCTCGATGAGAAGGGTGAAGATAAAGGTGCGTATACCTTTGAGACGACTCACGTTGTCGAACAGCGGGTATCAAACCTGGCTCAGGGGCTTCTCACCCTTGGCACCATGACCGGCCCTCTTCTCGTGGTTCTTCATCTCGTTCCTCACGGAGTCTTGGCGGGACTCTTTTTCATCATGGGCGTCCAAGCCCTTCAGGCAAACGGTATCACAGCCAAGTTACTCTTCCTGGCCCGCGACAAGAACCTGACGCCGGCAAATTCCCCTCTCAAGCTCATCAAACGCCGCATCGCCATATGGATTTTCGTCATCATCGAGCTGGTCGGCTTCGGCGCCACTTTCGCCATCACACAGACCATCGCCGCCGTCGGCTTCCCCATCATAATCTTGCTCCTCATTCCCGTGCGCGCTCTCCTCCTGCCTAGGATCTTCCACCCAGACGAGCTGATGGCCCTCGACGAGCCGACTGCCTCAGACTTTACCATGGAAGGCATCGGGGGCGCTTGGGGCGGTGGTCGAAATGAAATCCAGAGCAGCGACGAGAACACTCCCATACAGAGCAGGTCCTCGTCCTCCTCGGGGCGAGACAAAAGCCAGGAGGACCTGGCGGAGCTCGGCCAAGTCCAGAACACGCAGAATACGATGACTAGGAGGAGAAGCATCGATAAGAGGGCCGGCCGATTACGTAGAGGGAGCATAGTGCCAGACACGGCGTAACTATCACATGATTAATTTGCTCATTATGAAAAGAAGAGGGAAAGAAAGAGGCACATGATACCCAAGATGACGTCCATCTACAGTGTGGATTTGATATATGATTTTGAACAGTGTTGCGATGAAGAGAGCTGAAAGAAAGTGCTGCGAAGTAGAGATAGAATACCTCGTACGACACCTCTGCAGGTAGTAACTCCCATCAATATATATGCAATTTCTTCCTATAAATACGCATTGAACCGTCATCCATATCCCTCTCAAGTAAATTCCTCGCAATGCTTCTTTTACATATAGAGTATACATTTGAAAAGTGAAAGAAAAGTAAAACCATTCTCCCTATCTTATTCGTCATCGCTGTCTATGACAAAACCGCCCCGTACCCTCGGCCTCCGGGTCACCACTACGGGAGCATCGTCGCCCTCTTCCGCAGCGTTCACTGCCGACTGCTGCGCTTGTGAAGCATCTTCCATGTCAACATCGTCGTCGCCCTCTGCGTCAACATCATCCTCTTCCACGCTAAGTTTTCTCTTCTTTCTGCCACTGCCACTGCCATCGCCATCGCTTTCCTCAGCGGGGGTATCATCCCTACTAGTGTTCTCCTCCACTTCTTCATCGTCGTCAATCAGGCCTCCTAGTAATAAGTCGTCGTCATTACCTTCATCTTCACCATCACTGTCAATCTGTACTGTAGATTTGCGCTTTGTAGGCTTCTTCGCAACAGCAGGTTCTACGGCAGACTGCGCAGCCTTGGCAGCGCGAGCAGCAATCTCCCGTTCGCGAGCAAAGAACGCCTCGTCTTCTTCATCGTCGAACTCGTCGTCTCCCTCCTTGACGTATACGGCGGATTTGATTTTGCGTAACTTTTCGCGCTCTCGCTCGCGTCGCTTACGGGCCTTTTCTTCAAGCTCCTCATCGTCCAGCTCTAGGACCTGGCTATTCCTCCGCCTCCTCTTCTTTGTCTTTTTGGGTCTTACTGATTCGTCGATAGCTTTTCTCACTGTTGGGCCGCCAGGCTCAAACATAAATTCATCATCCGCGTCTTCGTCCTCGTCGTCGTCAAAATCAGCCTTCTTGCGAGGTGGTAGTTTTCTCTTTAGCTGATTCTCTGCCAGCTGTCCATCGTCAAACGTTGGAGGGCTGAATTCTGCCTGGTTGATATAATGTAATGTGTCTTTGAGCTCGTCGGCAGTGACATCTTCTGAGACTATCCAGAGAGACTCTGGCGTTTCTTCACTTGCAGGGCCAAGCAACTGAATTCCGCAAAGACTTAACAGAAGTCGTAGGTACGAGTTCTTGAATCTCGCGGCGCGTCTCGCATCGTTATCAACACGTACATCTAGGCATTGGTTAGCTTCAGAGGTATTTGTATACGATAAATCGGGCGTCTTACTGAAGGGAGTAGGTTTGCTCGGCTCCTTTGGAGCACTAGCATCTGTTGATTCTTCCAACGGAGTTTCAGTTGATGTCAAGACTTCTTCTGCCGCAGCCCACGACCGACGTTCACTCTCAGCCGCAGTGAGAATACTCTTCACCCAGTTGATATGATCCCCCTCGTTCTTGTCGAGCAGTGCGCCGACCACAATGGCAATTTGACGATCTCGCTCTTCTGTATACTTGAAGACAAGCTCGCCCCCAGGCTTCGCCTGTTTCTTAGAGGCAGTCTGCTTCTCATATCCGTATTCTAAGAAGAAAGCAGTGCTCTGCAGCTTGCTAAAGAGCATCTCAATTATGAGTTCTGGTCTCTGTTCAATTTTTTTGAAGCATTTACGAAGGATCTGCTTCACGAGCTCCTCCCAGTCTTTAAACATGCCTGAGCCCTTATCCAGAGCCTCAGGGCCTTTGATCATGTTGTATAATAGGTGTATTATGTCCACGCGGAAAAGCATCACACTCATCTCCTGTTTGAACGCAAGTCGGTAGAAGAATCGATGAACGCGTTTCAGCTGTGAGTCGTCCATATCCTGATAGAATCGCGTAAACTTGACAAACGTATCCACAACACCCTGCGGTGTAAAGCGAGCCGCGAAGCGTTGAAAATCAAACTTGCGCTCCTTCGAGGTGCGCTCCGCAGTTTCGTCATCATTGGCCGAGTCGTCATTCTCTTCGGCCAAGACGCCATCTTCTGTGCCCTGCTGCTGCTGATCTTTGTTCTTCTTTTGCCGTGTTCGTTTGCGAGAGCGAACCTGCATGTCCGCATTCTGCTTTGAGTATGCTTCTAAGATACGCAAAAAATGATGGACCAGCTCCGTAGCAGCATCCAGGTAGTAAAACCCTTGGTCCTTATACGTCCTAACTATGTTGGCGATGATATCATGCGTCGACTCTTCATAAAACAAACGGCTCAGAACATTCTCTGCAATTTCCTCATCGTCTTCTCTGCCGCTCTCGATCATTTCTTGGACAGTGAGCAGAATCTGCGTGAAGCACCTCATTACAGCCGCTAATTCATGCCAGTCCTTGTACTCGTATGCCTCGTTCATCGCCTTATTAAGAGTAATAAACATTTCTTGGTTTAAAACTCCGGCAACAAGGCTGAAGCTGGATACATCGTCATTACTCTTTCTAGAGTCCCTTTTCAATTTCTGCCGTGTCCGTTCAGCCTCGAGAAACCATGCCACGAGGTAAAAAAACTGCCTCCTGTGGTATTGCATGACATGCGAAGCCTCTCTGTCGATAGTTTTGCGAACATGCGAGAAGAGGGGATTGAAGCCCGAATCGAGAAATTCTTCGACAAATGAGCGGAGCTGTCCGGTTGCTCGCGCGTTAAGCTTCGCCGGCGGTCCCAGGTCCCTCTCATCTTTATTCTCTTTCTTTGTCCTACGAGGAGGCTTGAATACTTTGTTCTTATCCATCTTCAAGTTGCGCGCTGTGGTATCGGCGAGCGCATCTTGCCCAGAAAGCGAGGACATTTTGCCATCTTCACGCTTGACCCAAATCATCGTACCGAAGCGGTTGTGTCGGGTCGGGCCATTGCGGGTGTAAGCTTTGAGCATCGCCGACTCCTTATTCATCAGGGACGTAAGCTCATGCGCCTTGGCCTTGTGTGCTTGCTGCTCCGTCATAAAGAGCTTCTCTATATCAACTCTTTTGATGAGATGGTAGATAATCTCCATGACAGCCGTATCCTCCGTCCTGAAATCATCGCCCATGTTTGAAGCCAAGGTAAGCAAGAATAAGAATATGTCTTGGTATGAAAAAGCGTCGATGGTGGCCGACCGAGAAATTTGCGTCTCATCACCCTCGTATTGCACATTGGGAGGAGGCGCAATCATGGCCATGTTGCGCAGGAAGAAAAGCACCAATTTGATGATGCCTTGATCTCGTGCTGCTCTATCGCTGGCAGGGAGCGCCAACGACGGCAGAGCAGTCCTGACAGCAGCATGCAGGATCCGGGCCTCATCAAAATTGATCATGGCCATCTTGTATTGAACTTGTGCAAGCTCCAGCACGGGCATATGCCGATGGTGGTTGATTGTCATTCGCTCCTTGTCCCTCTCCATCGGCCACGTCAACGGGACCATGATCTCAAAGCACGCCAGTGCAATTCGAGACTTGTACTTGCTATCGGTGGCATTTTCAGGCCATGTTGCCAAGATCGGAAGCAAATCTCCCTCGATCAGGTTCGCTTCGTGAATACAGCGGGCAACGTCCATGCGGTTCGTTTTTTCGTCGTAGAAGCGAATCCATCGTTTGATATCGCGAAGGACCTCCAATGCGTCGTCTCCAAGGTGGTATCGGCCATCATCCTCCGTACTGGCGCCTCCGAGCTAGCATCATTCGTCAGTATAAATTGAAATGAGCATCTTCAGAGGGCACAAGTGCAGCTGCTCTTCAACCTACCGCCGCGACGAGGCTGCTGATGTGTGCCCGAACTTCTGGGTGGACAATGTCCGTTGTGCCGTCGGACAGCTCCATATCAGCAGTCTTGCGAGAAGCTGCTATGAATTTGAAAATGCATGGATCGGCGACAGCAGCAACATCGAGATCAATTCAATGCGCTTAACGCAGTGCCTCGAGCAAATCAATTATACAGGCCCCCAGAGCTTATAGAGCCCCTCCAGCACGCGTCTAGCTTGACGCGCTCCAGCGCAAAAGTAAACCAATTTACGCGGTCTGATAAGCGGATCATCATCGGCAGCCGATAAGCTGTCCTACCTGTAGCTCTACCTTTAGCTGCCTCTTCACTTAGCTCTTGCCGCAGCCGTGGACCAAGGGCCGAGGCCGAGGTTACCCGGGCTGCGGCTGTTCATAATAAGCGTCTACCTATATACCTCCTCTAGCCGCCCACGGCCTCACCGTTCTCATCTATTCTTCACAATCCAACATGGCCAGCTCAATTGTTCGAGGGAGGGCGCTGGGAGCTTTGCGCCAGGTGCGCTGCTTCAGCTCTACTCCAAGACAATATGCCGCCGACGTCAAGAGTCTCGGTGTCCTCGGCGCCGGCCAGATGGTAAGCAAGCTGCTCTCTTACATGTGAAAGACGAAGCTCTAACATGGCGTGCAGGGCCTGGGAATTGCTCTTGTTGCTGCGCAGAGGGCACAAGTTCCCGTGACCGTTGTTGACGCTTCTGAGCAAGCTTTGAACAAGGGAATTGCTTTTGCTGGTGCGTCGGAGCTCCTTTCGAGCTGTAAGCTGAGTGATGTCATTACTGACAAACATGATAACAGAGAAGCTGCTGGCCAAGGATGTGTCCAAGTCAAGAATCACTCAAGAGCAGGCCGACCAGGCCCGCGCGCTGCTCAAACCCAGCACCAACATTGAGGACTTCTCATCTGTCGACTTCATCATCGAGGCTGTGCCCGAGATCCCCAAGCTCAAGTTTGAGATCTTCAGCAAGTTGGCAAAGATTGCGCCTCCTCACGCCATCTTGGCCACAAACACCTCTTCAATCTCGATTACACGCATTGCTGCGGCCACTACCACTGACCCCAATGACACCTCGGCTTCATCCAGAGTCGTTTCTACCCACTTTATGAACCCTGTTCCGGTGCAAAAGGGCGTTGAGATCATCAGCGGCCTGCAAACCAGCAAGGAGACGCTCGATACAGCTGTTGAGTTCTGTAAGAAGATGGGCAAGGTCACCTCTGTCTCAGCTGATTCTCCTGGCTTCCTCGCAAACAGGATCCTCATGCCCTATATCAACGAGGCCATCATCTGCCTTGAGACAGGCGTTGGTGACAGAGACTCAATCGATGCCATCATGAAGAACGGAACAAATATCCCCATGGGGCCTCTGCAGCTTGCTGACTTTATCGGTCTTGATACCTGCCTGTCTATCATGAAGGTCCTCCACACAGAAACTGGAGACTCCAAGTACCGACCCAGCGTGTTGCTAGGAAAGATGGTAGATGCCGGCTGGATGGGGAAGAAGAGTGGAAAGGGATTCTACGATTACTGAAAGCTTTAAAAACTTAGATTTGAAGATGTGAGGGCATCAATAAGTAGTTAAAAAAAAAATAACTATAGTGCATAGTTTATAATTTGGAAATTGTTAAATAATTCAAATTTGAACAAGCTTGAAGATCATTTTCAAAGCCACAATTTGACTTGTGTTGAATACTTTGTAGTGATTGTTTGTGGAATAGTTCTTATTAGTTTCAAAAATTTAACCAGTTGTATATGGGCATTTGAATTGGGACATAGTAGTAAACATGTACATATCTTATCAAGTATACATCAAATTCATCATTCGATGTGCCATAGCTATATCTTGTCAACTTGACCAACTCAATCCTAATACTACGTGTATTTTCGTATACGTTTGTTTTTATTTGTATCTGTCTAGTCGCGGTATCCAAGCCTCAAATTGTACTTGGTTTGTCTTGGTTTATGATGTTTCTATAACTCATGTATGAGCACCAGTGTGCAATGTCCACATAAACACTTACTCATAGATCCTACTCTTTCTCACTTGACGTTCGTAGTCACGAGACTATTCAAGTGACCAGAATATATTACTACTATGTATGAAGCAAGGTTGAGCAGCCGTACCGGTCAGCAGTATGTAGGTGGACTACGAGGTGGGTTGACTTGCATATGCCGGCAGAAGTCTAGTGACTGTGACAACCGTGCATACTAAAATCTGATAATCTCTAGCAGGGCGCGTATCGACCGCCCTTCTGTGGAGAACGAACTGGCTTCTTTATATTGCTGACTTGCCGTGATTTATTGCTTATTTTAGAGAGACGTTATCCAGCGACCCAATTCTGTTATCCAGCCCTCCAGCTTAGGCGTGGGCTGTTGCCAGTATTACTGCTACTGCTGCTACTGCTGCTATTTTTATATATATACTATTCAGCAGTTTTGCACATATATCTTAATATATAGAATAGCTGCCTTATTACGCTACAGCTGGGGTGTTGGATAATGAGATTGGGGTGCTGAATAACGTCTCCCTTACATGTATTTTACCACGAGTCGCTCTTCGTGTCGTAAATGGGTTGCAGCCACTCTATTATAGCAGGTACCATTTCTGTCCTGGCTCATCAAAAGCACAACACTGGCGCCTTAGGTACTGTAGTAGCGTCTGTGCTCCCAGCGTTTCAGCGCTAGGCAACCTTGGAAGCCATCCGCGGGCTAATAATAGATTAAGATCGGGCTGGCGACATGTCTCACCAAGCCTTATGCTAACAATAACGGTCGATGGCGTGTAGATAATTTACAGCTTTGGTACTGCCGGTAACATTACGAAATACGAAGTACTTGCTGTTGATCACCAGAACCGTACGGCAGAGGTAGCAAGTAGTACACGTAGCGTAATGGCGCAGTCATTAGGCGACAGGCCGCTTAGAGACAAGGCGGCAATTACTTCGTTCTTTAGGTAAAGGTAGTTTTACCGATCAGACGGCAAACGTCTCACTCATGGTGCGAGATGGCAGCAATCTCAGCGCGTATCCGGCCAGAGACGCGGGAATTTCTCGAGGATGCAGCAAGACTAGAGCGGACTAGCCAACCGCCTCTGCTAGCATTAGGGAGGCAAGATAGGCCGGCGCTTTAATGCACGATGCAGCACTCACAGCGGCTGTGATTCTCGCTTCAGCCCTCGACATGATTAGAACTTTAGCCGTGTTCGAAGCCGCCATCGCAAATTTACAACTCGGATAGCGAAAAAGAAAGAGAAAGGGGGGAGCAATCAAGCAACGGACCGCGTCATATCGGCGGCATGTCACTCCGTGGTCGGTGCTACACTGCCCAGGATCGAAACCGTCCGAGTTCTGCTCTAGAAATTGAGGCTGAATTGGAGGATTGTCCTTCCTCCACCGTGACGCGGATGGCTTGATCACGACTCTCGGTAGGAGCTGGACGGAAATTAGATGGGCGGGCTCACACATTGTTGAGCATCCGAAATGAGCAGACAGACAGAGGCGCTCGTCCGTCGTTTGCCACATCCAAGAATTAGGTGTCCGAAGAGGCGACGTACACTTACCCCAACATTCAGCTTCTGCAGCCTAGATAGGACCGAGCTTTTCCTGAGAGGCCATGTCGATTTCCGGCTAATGTAAACCGGCATGGGCTCCGCACTTGCTGTACGGTAGCCAAGCTGCAGCAATGAATCTGCAAATTTTTACGCATCCTTATGCCACTCGGGGGGCAGATCTCCCGCCTGCTGAGGCGATGATTAAAGACCTGGCCTAGTCCAAGGGGAGCATGTGGCCAGCCCATGTGCTCACGATTGCTTGCAGCATGTTTGAGCAAGGCTCTGCCTGCCTGGTAGGAGCGCCCTCTTCCTACTGGAGTCCGCGCGGATTACCTAGAATCTTCATGGAAGGATCTGCTGATAGGTACTGTGGTATACATACCTAGTACCAAATCAGAAAGAAAACAGAGTAGCAATACTACCACTTTGTGCAGGGGACTAGGCACACGTTCTCTCACACCTTACTGACCTTGTGTGCCTGGTTGAAGCTTGTTCCCAAGTAGCTCCAAGCCGGCTGCCATAACACCACTGCTAACAGCAAGCTTGCGTGAATCCAAGTACAAGCTACTCTGCGCCCGCATGCCGTCCCATATCTAGACTTGGAGGCATCACATCAGCTGTCCATCCACAGTCTTCCTCACCACACCACCTGCTTGATTCAGCAGGTCCAGAACCAGCAGCAGTAGGCGCGAGAGGCCGCGACCATTGGCTGCTCGGGCAATCTTGGAGTAAAACCGAGAACGCTTCAGGGCCGCTGTCCGGCAGGCCACCCACAGTGCAGGAGAGGACAGAACTCCCAAAGACTCCATCAGGCTTTTCTTTTCTTCTCCCTAAAGCCCGGGTACCTTGCTTGCTCATCTCTCCAGTGTCCCAGCAGCGGCATCTCATGCAGCTCAACCAGTTGCAGTGGTTGCAGCGTTCCGCACGCGGTAGCATCTCGAAATGAAAGGCCCGGCTGCTCCATCCGCCTCTCTTCCGTAGCCTCTTCGGGCGGGAACTAGCACTGACTGAGGCAAAGGTCCGGGCCTCGATTGGAACAGAGCTCCCCGCTTTGTCGCGCACGAAGCTGGGTTCTGGCAGCAAGAGAGCGTCGCATGGGCGGCTGGACAGCGGCCGGGGCTGGCAAGGCGTCTGGCGCGGGGAAAAAGACAGCACCGCGAGGCTACGCGAGAGGTCCTGAAAATTTCACGCGGCCAGCCATGCGTGCCAAGGCACAAGGTACAGGTACAAAACAAGCCGGGTGCCTGGCTCAACGGCCCTTTGTCGTCTGGGTCTCGGGAGGAGTGTCGATATCTCGTCTGCTGCATCGTGCACCCTCCCCCGGCGCAGCCTTGCTCTCTTTCGTCGTGTTTTCTGGTCTTCTTCTTTCTTGCCTGGCCTGGCCTTGCTCTAGATCCCTTATCCGTCCTGATGGGCGGTGATAGCAGTTGAAAAGTGATTGATGAATGGTGCGATAACCTCAAGTATCATGCAGACAGCGCATTGCATTGCTCTGGTTGGAGCTGTACAGAGGCTGTCGTGATTGAAGTGGTAAAGCAGGGTCTAGTGCTGGTACAGAGTGCCTGCTTATATTAATAGGCTATTTCTGTCCTGGTACAGGTACGGCAGCGCCCTCGTGCCGCTCCTGCTAAGCTACCACCCCAGGCCCTGCTAGGTTGTATTCTTCCACCACGAACCTTCGGAGAATCGAGATAATACTTTATCATACCTTGTTAGGACGCGACAACCAAGGCAGCTTGCTCCATATATGCACACAGCCGTATGCACATGACGGAAAACCACGACCAAAGCTGGTTCTTTGCTGCATCCACTCCACTCTTATCTGTTCCTACTGTCGACTTGGGATCTGCAAGGACAGTGCCGACTGCCAGCCTCTACCTAGCATTGGGAAAGACCAAAAGAAAGAAGAAAGACGACGAGGGCGACAATGCCAGCTCGGCCGTTCTCAGCAGTCGCCTCCTGCCATGGGCCATCGGGCGATCCATTCGCTCTCTAGCTGCTTCACAACAGCGGCATCCAGGAACGCACCCGCACAGTCGTGCAACAGGTGGCCGGGGTGCTTTTTCCCATCTTCCAGACAGGGAGCAGAACCACCAAAGCTCCAGTTCTGAACCGCCAGACCCGCCGCGTCAAACACGATGACCCATGCCCAGCGAGCCAAGTGGCCCTGAGGCTTTCCCACTTCCGACATGGCGGCTGCTTGCGTCCGCGTGGTCGGCGGCCATCCGAGACCTGGGCACGAAATGCCATGTGGTCGGATCTTGCCTAATAGATACAACGTGCGTCTTTGTTCCGCCGAGCAGATGCTGCTCTGTAATATATGATGGCTTAATAGATGCGTCAACGATTGAGCAGGAGAGGCCTGCAAGCTTCGAGCGATCCTCGCCAGGGACTATGCGATATCTCGTCTTGGCTGTGCCGTGCCGTGTGCGACCTCTTTGCTGCTGCTGCTGCTGGCACACACAATCAGTAGTAGACAAAGGCACGAAGCGCGAAGCACGAAGCACGAAGACAAGAAGAGCTACTCCCAGTCATGCGCAGCTGTTTCAACAGGGGCAGCAGCAACGGCCTGACAGATTCGCGAGGGCCTATTGTCTGACCTGCAGCTCTCTCTACTCATATTCAGTACGATATGCTTGCTACTGCTTGGTAGCTGGCAACTCGGCTTACTAGCACCTTCGATCACTGCATCCCCCCGAATCCATTGCCCCACGCCGCCGTGCTTGTGGAATTCATGCTTATTCTAAAAGGCTCGATGTTTGAGTAAGTAGATTTTGTTTTTCACTTTCATGGTGTTTTATATTATGCTCTTTGTATGGTGGAGCGTCTCTTCCTTCTAGAATCTCACTCCTCTTTCCGTTGACAGCATAAGCCGCCCGGACCCAGAGATCCACTGCTGCTAGGGCATTCTTGAAACGACATGGCGTCTCCTCCTTTCATTACAAAATATCTGCGCGACATTGGAATGCCTAAAGCCTTAAATAGCAGATTTCACATACGCATTTGCGTATATAGTGCTTGTAAGCCTTGGGTTTGCGGGAACATGCTTGTTCCGATCATGGGCGTTTGCTGACGCTGATGTGGTTTTACTAGGAATAGGCAGTGAGTGGTTGGCTGAAGACTGGTAGTACTTGACATATGGCTGTTAGTACATGTCTGCCGAAACGGGATATACAAAGTAAAACAACGATTCAACAAGCCGTGGGCCTGCCAATTACCGAGGCCAACGACATTCTTGAGCCTTCTGTTTGCAACTACCCCTGAGGAAGCTAGAAATGTGAGTTTGTCAAGCCACCCCGGTTTGGGATGAAACATCAGGATACGGGCAGCAAGAGTGTTGCGGGTACTGCTGCTACGGATGTACTCTTCGAAATAGTACTGCTGCTGGCATGAACGTGCTGCTGCGACTAGACCTCCTAGTTGAGGCGACTAAGCTCCGTGCATTATCGCGCTGGTGTCTACACGGTTGACTAAATGCAGGCAGGTAACGCATGTACGAAATACACACACAAACGGCAATGTTACGCGGAATGAGCACTTTCGACGAGCCACATCTTGCGGCTTGAGCTGGCCCCACCAAGTATGGCCCGGCTGCACCGGCGCATAGCCATTCTCAGCCTATGTATTAGCACTTCCTACAAAGTATGGCCTGGATACTCGTACTTGCACATACAAGCCTCCATGAGCAAGGCTTGTGACTCTTAGATTGATGTCCGGGCGGTACTAGCGTTGCCCTGGAATTCTTCCGCTCACTAATTAACCCATGTCTAGATTAATATCCTGGCGATGCTCTTATAAAACGGCAAACCAACTGTGTTCCTCCAATGTCGGTGCCGATGCCCCTCCCCCTCGCCGTTGACCATTGTGGTCAGACCGAGGGATGCAGCTTTCGCGCTTCAGCCTGATCCACGATGAGAATCCAGCGAGAGCCCTGGCCGCAAATGCCGTCTGCTTTGCCTCCATCGTATGAGAGCCAACGAAGCATGTGCTAGGCATAACTCTGCTGCGAGAGGACTTCTAGCGCCATTACGCCACGCTCGGGAGGAGGTGTGGATACCTGAGCTGCATCGGTGCTGCAGTTTTCCCAAGCGTCATCCGCTTCACATGTTCTCCTAGCCCAATTGATTGACTGCATGAGCAAGCGAAACGAGGCTGGGCATATTAGTGCTGCTGCCACCCTCTTCCAGTTGCGGCAGAAGAACAATGACCAAGGACATCCGCCTTTACATTCTTTATAGCTGTTCTTTCTGATTGAACGCCAGAAGGTTACAGCTCCACTGCTACCTGATCCTCTGTAACTATTACCTGCATTCGAAATTGTGGCGGTCCCCCACTTACAAGGCCCTTGCGGATTCTTGTTGCTTGCTTGCCGCTGGCGACCCCCTGTCCTCGATGGCGGTCCCATGCTCACGGATATGCGCGCCCCCCGGGCGTCAACTCTGTGCGTTTCTTTGGCCCCTTGCCCGTTGTACATGCTCTCGACTACAATGGACTGTGGCCCGTTGAAGAGCTCGCTGGCTCAGTACCAAAACACGCCTTGAGCGACGGTCATGCGTTCGTCTGTGGAGTTGACTTAGAACAACGTGCTGCTACAGTACTTCCTGGGAGCATGGAATAGCTCAGCCGAGGTGCTGTCTGGAAGTCCGTTCCATTTAATCCATTGCTGCTGTTTGACTTTCACCTTTGTTATGAACCTTGTTAAACATGTAAAACTGCTGGCTAATGAAAAGGCCACTTCAGCTTATGCTTGCGCGCGGACGTATCTCGCTGTTGGCGTCGGCGGTCTAGATGGCATACTGCAATAGTCGAGCTGTTTAGATTCGTGCAGGCAAAGGACCGACCCGCGGTATCCTGATGGGTCTGGTTTTGCATACCCGAAGTAAGAATATGCATCGGATCACTGCATCGGCGCCTCTGGACACTCCCCCCCTTCTGGGCGGACACGCAAATTTCAGGATGCTCGTACCTACTCGGCTTGCTCTGCTGCTGCCCGCAGCAGAGCTTTTTGTTTGCATCGTCCATCACCCTTCTCAGCTGGATGGTTAAAATAACTGCCATAGCCAGTAAGTCGTTGCCACTCGATTTTCACTAAAATCATGACATTACTTTGTATTTAGCTACATGTACTTATACTAATAAGAGCACGAAGTAGTCGTAGTACTGTAGCAGTTCGACCAGGAAGCAGACAAGGGGCCGTTCTCAATTATACCCTTCCTGGTAGCGGGCCCTCTTTCCCGATCTTGGAACACGGAAGACTCCTGGTAGCTCAACCGACAACCACAAGGGTAATAGTGCATGCTCTGGAGCTGGCCCATTATTACAGTGCGGCTTTTCGAATCAAGAAGCTTCCAAGCTGCATATGTGCTTGTCCACCCCATCCTCCTTCATCAGGTACCAGGTACGGAGGCACCCCCCCACAGCTTCTTCTCCATCAACACTTGTGCCTAGCGGCAGCCTCCATTTTTGCCGTATTCTGTCCGGACAATTCTCTGACACCCCTCCCTACAGATATTACGAGTACCTACTCTGGTCTCTGACAAGATCTGGAGCTTACAGGCTTTGGGAAAAGTCGGCCACCCTACCAGCATCTGGAGAGGACCCAGCACCTCATACCTGTACGAGGCATATATGCGAGCTGATGATTCCAGGACCATCGATTACACCCATATCGATGTTTGACCCCACTAAAAGCGCCTGGTAGTATATGGTCCTCGAGCTCTCATGTCACCATACAAGTAGTATATCCCCAATCCTACCTCGTGGAACCTGGACTTAAGCCAGATGCTACCCCTTCAAATCAGTCTTGCGACCTGGGCTTGGATAGCCACTCATGTTCTAACTTTGCTTCGACAGGGGGGTTTGATCACTGGCTCTCTCGCTCTTGCAGGCGGCTAACTACCTACTTCTGTCCTGACTAACTCGGCCAAAGGGATACGTCCACTGTATTGCAGCCCTCCCGCTGGGCGACATCAAAGGCAGCCTCTTTTCGAAGAGTTCCCGCCCCCTCAATCCTGACCAGATCAAATCCGCACGACCTTTATTTCGTGCAGCTGCTCTTCAGCATAACTAAGCTTTACTCTTTGTGATAAGTCACTTGACGAGGTTGATCCCTTTCTAGTTTCTGGTTTTCAATATTCTCGAACAGGAGGAAAAAAGTCAAACAGTAACACCTACCACTATTGTCGGTTACCACGGAGTATCTATCAACAACTCGTAAGCTATTTACCTGTTTCGGAGCTTGGATCTATCAACAGCCTGCCGGCGGCTTTATCGACCCCGTATCGAGTTGATGTTGGCAGAGTTTTCAAATCTTTGTCGAAGAAGACGCCTGGGTGGCTCTACTGGCGCTTGTTTATCCGAAGTCCCAAACACATTTTCCAATGCTCGTCACTAGACCTTCAGACTCTGAACATAGCCACTGGTCCTTTGGCAAATACTTCCCTCCCTCTGGCAAAGTACCAACCAGTTCACGCATGTCAGACCCGTACGACGCCTCGACTTCAGCTCAGCCAGACTGGCAAGGGCAGTATCCCTATTTGCCGCAGCCCACCGGATCGGTCTATAATCAATCTTCAGAATCGAACCATGCCAGCTCGGGAGTATTCCAGCCACAGCCCGTGGTAGAGAACGGGAATCTTCGGCTGGAAGCCCAGACTGATAGACAACCGGCGCTGCCATCTGATTCACGCCATAATATTTATCGTGTAGGAGCAGAGGACACAACTTACCCTTCCCGAGCGGCAGAACCATCAGAGAGAAAGGATGAAGCGAGAGGCATGAAGACGGCTTCGCTTCTGCTAGATGATTCACTTACGCCTGGTAGAGATGCCACTAGACTCCCCGCGCCGTCGAACCATATCAACGCAGCAACGGCCATGCCCAAAGGTTTAGGCAACCCTTCAAATACATATGGACCAGATGATCAAACCATGGCAGTGCCGAATGACGATGCGGAAGATGCTTTACTTGATGAGGACATGGCGGAGGAAGAAACAGATTCACTACTGCAAACTACAGCAGAACGAGTGGCGGCCCGCCGGAAGATGAAGCGCTTTAGGTAGGATTCTGGGCACTGTTGGCGACGAATAAAGCACTAACATACCGGCAAAGACTTACCCATCAACAAACAAGATTCCTAACGAGCGAGTTCGCAAAGCAACCTCATCCTGATGCTGCGCATCGGGAACGACTGTCTAGAGAAATACCCGGATTGAGCCCTAGACAGGTGCAAGTGTGGTTTCAAAACAGGTAGGATACGCCCATAAATGCCTGAATTGTTCTGAGGCTTGTATGAGATCTAACAATTTTGTTCAGGCGTGCAAAGATTAAAAGGCTCAATGCCGATGATCGTGACCGAATGATTAAAATGAGGGCTGTTCCGGATGATTTTGATAACGTGCAGGCTTTGCACTCACCATACGGCGCGGTTCACGGAATGCCTCTGCCAATAGCGCAACCAGTTGATTTTTCGCACGCTCAGTATTCGAATAATTCGATAATGAGGCCTCTAATGGTGGATGTTCGGCGTGGTCAAGATGCACCAGAGCATATGTCACCAACCGGACTAACCCCATCGTTTGGCAGTATCGGATTTCATGCTCCGAATGCAGTGAATTCGTCTGGAGTAATGTCACCAATATCACCACACACGACTGACCGTTACCCTCCACACGGAAGTGCCGGACCCCGCGGATCTCTGGAAGCGCATCGTCATGCAATCAGGCCGCTTCAGGGCTTTCACGGTCGAGATTCATCAAGACCAAGGTCTGAGTCGTTACAATCGTATTATATGTATTCAGGTCCAAATGCACACTCTAATGCAGCTGATAGACCTCACATGGTCTATCAGTCAAATCAAGTAAACCAGACATCTGGCAACGCGGGAGGTGTTGATCGGAGTCCTTATACGAGTGAGTTGAGTTGGGGGTTGAGAAATTACTTGAGCTTTCGGACAAATACTTACTTATCAAGCTCAAGGCAGTAACAATGCACAACCATCGCCGACGGCATTAAGCTATCCGAGCTATCAACAGACGCCAGAGAATGGATCACGACTTCGAGCCGCCTCAGCCTCTTTGCCACTGAACACAACAGACCAATATCGACCGCTTCACTCTCCTCAGCCAAATGGCCATCGACCGACTGGACCTTCATCGCAATATGGAGCCTCTGCAACATATCAAACCAGCTACGGAGCTGCGCCTTCAACAGCTCCACTGACGCCTTCTCTGGTAGGTCCACTGTCACGAGCGTCGGGTGGCCAACCAAACGCAAGAAATTATCAAGATCCTACAGGAACAACTGAATTCTCTCAAACTGTGCCGAGCGGCGTGAATGGCCAAGATACTCGCACTGAAGCAAGAAGCATGTATACCAGTGGGGCAGCTGATTATGCAGATCACCAGCATCGAGGGTATGCAGCTCACAGAGGGGAAGCTTCACCCTTGGATAGGCCGAGACCTCCTTCACATCATAACACAAGGTGAAGTCGAAGTCAAACCTCCGTTTCCTCTATGAATTATAGAATGGCGAAGGAAATGAAGCCAAGTCTATACCGCAAAAACAATTTCAAAAATCACAATTGTGAAGTTACGTGGATGTCTACAACCAGAGGCAATAAGATGGGCAGATCGGTTTTGCGAAAGGGGAGCGATTATGATGCATTCGCATTTCATTGGGCTAGCGGCAGCATGGATGTGGTCAACTTTGCCCATCCCTATTTAACTTGATTCACTTTCTCCCCTGTCTTTATACCTCTTTTGTCCCTTTTGGAGTCGGACAGCAAATGATTTATGCTATGGGAATGTATCACGGACGAGCCAGGTAGGCTCGGCAGGTGCCGGGGAAAACGGCGAAGAAGCTATTTATTGGCTTTTGAGAAAGCCGGTTGTCTACGCACCGCCAAAGCGAAGTCGACTTGCACCAGGCACTACCCAACTACTAGCTTGGATTGTTGCAAAGACCAAAGCCACATCTTTTTTTTGCAAGAACGAGGCTGAGGTTTATATACGGAAAAAAAAAATCATACACATATAAAAGGAAAAAGAATTGACCAGAAGCGACACGACGGGATCATATACGGAAATTGAGAGAATTTGAGACACCGGATACCCTCTTAGAGTTGGCGAGAGCCGAACAACGCAATTTCCATTCTTTAACATCCGGCCTTATTTTTTTCTACTGCTCTTTGTTCCTCCTTTCTTTCTCTTCTTTTCTTTCCTCTCTTCCCATTTCTCTGTCCGGTTTCTTTCCTATTGTTTTCATTCTTTCTGTTCGTTTGTATAGATTACAAGGACATACCCTTTTCTCCCCCTTGCCTTGAGGGCTATGCTTTGGGACATTTTTGGACACGTTGAAGCGTGCAGGCAATTTTTTTTTCTACTTTTTCCTCTCTCTTCTTTTCTCTCAACTTCCTTTTTCCCATCTTTTATTCTTCTCTTTTCACCTTCTTTTCTTCTTCTTCATTCATCTGTGTATATGTATATATATATATATCTTTACTTTCTTGGGAGCCGGATGCTACCCGTCGCTGGGCGAGAATATAGCAATGAGACAATATATATAAGTCATTGCACTACCGACGTTTACTGCTATCGTAGATTTCGACTTTTGGCTCTGAAGAGTATGAAATATACACTATCTAGCTTAATTCTTTTTCCTTTCCACGTCGATGCGATTCCTATTTCAATCAATAATCATTGAACGGCGAGTCAACATCTGTGCTTTAGATATCCTGTGTCTTGGAAAATGACTAGAGTAAAGTTATACCTACGGCATCTGGGATACACATCTCACAAAAGTTTATGAATCTTTTTCTGAATAATAAGCCCACCTGAATGAATGACCTGAGTTAGTATACGATTTACAAAGTCCAGCCAATTCCCTTGTTTTCTATAAAACCATCGCAAAAATCAGTCAAGCCTAGATTTTCCGCCTGCAGCCTAGTGGTTGACAGATGTTTTGAAAACAAAACTCCCAGAAAACAGCATCAAAGCAGATAGGTTTACCAGATGTAAAGGTGTCATCATAATGGAGGAGTGGTGTATAAAATTGAATAAGGGTGCTGGTAAACTTAAGTCTATCCATGCCAGAAAAGCTTACCTTGATTATTTTAGTATGGGTATTCAAGGCACAGCAATACAGAGGGCACTGCCGCTCGATTCATGAATGTGTGTGTGTGCGTGAAGAGAGTGTATCGCATCCATTTGGCGAGTCACAGAAAAATCGATCGAGAATGGCTACATATTCACACGCACATATGCAAACGCAGGCAAGAGACGCATTGTGGCCATTCCTTTTCCTCGTCTTTATCTTCTTTCCTCCAATTGATTGTTCTTCAATCATACGGTAGTTTTGAGAGTAATATGTCACTTGCATCAGGTCATCATCGCATCATGGTAGCCACACAGACGGGGCCCTCGTGATGATGGTTTTAGGCAAGGTTGCTGTAAAAAAGTGCATTCTGGACCAGGCATCGAAGTATCGTCGGGCAGCATCGTATTTGTCGCTGAGTGATCAGAACAGGGCCGTCGGCGTGTTTTGCTATCGATTGCTGGTCGTTTTGTTGAAGAAAGGGAAAAAAAAAAGAGAGAAAAAGATCAGGAGGGGGACGTGCAGTTTTGGTTTTGCAGCCTTGCCGAGAATCTCGTCGGCCCCGCATGTCATGTGACTTTTCCTGTGATGCAAATGGAACTTTTACGGATACGGCAGGAATTGATTTTAGCGCATACGGCGGTTGCGGTGTGTAATATGGCGGTGCTAAAAAGCTCTACATCGGTATGCGATACGACTCGATACGAGGGGGTGTCTCGCAGTGCCTGAAGATGAGGTAGAAGAAGAACGGAAATACTTTGTGTAGACAAAGGCAGGCTGGACATGGAAACACATGAAGAGATCCGGAAAGCCAGAGTGGGAAAGGCACCTACGCATCAGCTATAGAAGCACGTTTTTTCTCCAGGATTTAGCAGGTTCCCACTTACTCGCTCGGTTTACATAAGCGTATAATCGTCGAGAAACAAGACACCGTTTGCGAAGCTGAGGCTGGTGATTCAACTGTTTTGGCGAAAAAAGGCCGGGGCGGAGCGGGACTTGCGGTGGCAACGGTGAGTTTTCACTCGCTGGACGACAACTAAGACATGCATACAGGGCACATGCCGTCGAAGGCCTGTTGCCCACATAGAGAGGATAGACTACAAAGTACTAAGACCAATAGTAGCAATTGTAGTAATACTGCGGCACAAAAAGGAAAACAAGCACGAATGCACCAGCAACAAAGAGCAGCACATGCATTGCGTTGTCGCGTCTCTTCGAATCAAAAAAGATACACCGACCGTGGTCACTGATTTGACAGAACGCCAGAGCATTTAAGCGCCAGGTTGGTCTGCTTGTCACGCCCCCCAGCGTTTCCGTTCCTTACGACGGCACCAGGCCCTCGGCAACACGCGCTCCCCCAAACGGGCCCGCCGCTTCAAGGGAACCAACCCGCTGGAGCTTAGCGCCAGCCCTTCTGTGCTCGCCGAAAGCTTCAGTGCTGACAGCCGCTAGTGAGCCTTTTAGCCAAGAAAGGCAGCCCTTGCAAGCCAGCGCTTGTGTTTGGCCTGCGCTGGCCTGCGCTGTGCCGCCCGCCCTGCGCTCTCGCTGCTACTGCCTCGTCTTTCAGGCTCGGAGATTCCCTTTTGCCTTCTCCATCCAACTCCACCTTTTGCTTCATCATCTCCCAGCCCGCAAACGCTTCAATCATCGCCAGCGTCGCCTGCAATCGCCCTCCCTACCAGCCCGCCGAATCGACGAATCGACCATCGCAGCGACTCGATTTTGTGCGTGCCGTCCGCTCTCTCTCGTCCGCCTCGCGCCGCGGCGAATTTCCGCCAGCGATCCACCGTCTCTCGCCCCCTACCGATTACGGCAGTGAAAAACCCTGAAGGCGCCGGCTGCTCCTCTTCTTTCGCCGACACGGGACCTGTTTCTTTGCGCAGGCATCGCCGTATCCCATCGCCAGAGCACGAGGGATCAAGTCCAGACACTCCGTCAAGTGTATACGAGTGTATGACGCCGTCCGCCTGAACCAAGGCCCTTTCCCCGTAGCGCAGCGACTTCTCGGCCGTTGGCCTGGCGCGACACGCCACTTCTGCTTCTCGCGAGGAGACTTCGTTCATGATGTCGTTCCATCCCCAGACTCCCCAAAGCCCCTCGCAATTCTCGCCCGCCACGTCGTCGGATCCCTCTCTCGGCTCATCCGGCTCTGCGGCTGCTGCAGGAACAGGAACGACGACTTTGCCGACTCCCGCACACAGCGTCAACGGCTCCTCCCAGCTGGACTCCATGATGCTCGACGATTCGCCGCACAAGCGGAAGCGGCCTCTCGAAGATGTAGGCGACGACCGCGAGCTGAAAAAGGCTCACGTGGACGACTACAAGCTCGCCATTGAAGACCTGCACCGAGATGTTGGCCATAAATATCTCCTTCTTCAATCTCGTAAGACTCCCTCCGCTGCCCTCGTCTCGCTCCTCCGCCCCTGGAAGACGGGATCTCGACAGTTGCTGGGACGTTTTTGTTGTTCTGAGATCTTTGCTTTGTTGACACTGCTATCATTTAGCGCATCCCGAGTCTTTTCCTAGGACATCGGAAGATCTTTATGAGATGTACGACTTGGTCGATCTGGCCACCGAAGTCGCCAGAGAAAAGCCAAACGGCGAGAAGAACGCGCTCCGTAAGACGTACAAGGGTCACATCAAGCGCCTGGGCGTCACTGGACACTTTGATGTTGCAAAGAAGAACGACGACGCACCCTCAGACTTTTTATCCATGCTGCAGGTTCCCGACCATGAATGGAACGTCCATCAAGTCAAGGGTCGATTTCTTATGGATGGCTTATCAGACGTAACCAAATCGACCTTGGGTCGCGCGATGACTATGGCTAAGGGCCAGGTGCCGAAATCCTTTTGGGACTCGTCAGTGTTGGGGGATATTGGCCCATCTAATGGTGATAGTTCCAAGGCACCGTCCGCGAAACCTACGGCGCCTAACACGCCCCTGATATCCATGTCTGGGGCGGCCGCCATGGGCAGGCCCAAGTCTCAACTGTTACCCGGCCAAAATCCCGCACGACCTCAGCGGAGCGTCAAGAAGCGGTCATACGGCGATAGCAGCTATGAAGGATATGGTGAAGGCTTTCCCGACGACGACACTGGCCTAGAAACAGGCTACTCTACGGGGGAAGGTGAAGGAGGCCAGAAGCGCCGCAAGAAGGCAAGCTAAATCTTGAATTTCGATGCTGCCAGTAAGTTCTAACATCGTGCAGAGCTCAGGAAATACGCCACCCTACCCGAGCGCTATGCGCCAATCAAGCTATGGTCCTGGAATGGTTGGAGTATGACAGCTGTAACCATTATGATCTGGTTTGCCTTTCAACAGCGGTCACCGACGGAGAACTGCAGAGAGCTGAAAACAATGCTCTCGAAGAACCTCGACAGCTTTGTTTTTTTGTCATTGGTTTATGGTCCATGATAATTCTTTACATGATTTTGGCAGGACAAAAAAAGGGGAAAGTTGCGGATAACAACGATTTGATAACTTTTTAAAGCTCTATACCACGATACAGGGAAGCTCGGCACTCACGAAAGATCAGAGATGGGCCGATTTGCCCTCTTGTTCTTCGCCATTCATACCTTACAATTCTGTTTTGCATCCTTGACAAAGAGGAATCATTGATTCTCCATTTTGCGTTTTTTGTTTAGCATGGCGTTTGGGAGAGGCAAAGGGATATATATATAGTTTTTTTTTCCCCCGACGAGCAGAAAAGTTACCCTTTATTCGACTTCAGGGCAAATATTCTATCTCGTCGATGTTTTTCTGTTTTCGGGTTGTTTTTTTCCCCTCTCTGGCTCTCTGCTTATTCATTGTTTTTTTTTTTTACTCACTCGTATATTCCGTTTCAGCAGACCATCAAAAAAGCGGCGGTTGGAAAGCTTGAATCAAGAAACGTCAAAAAAAAAGGTTCGGGATCACGGGGGTAAACGAAGAAAGGAAGGAGGGAGGTCATTGAGGAGAGAGAGAGAGCAGTGGAACTTGAATGCCGAGAAGAATAAGCCACAACTTAACGAAATGGGAAATCGAGCGAAAAGAAACGATTTGGACGGCTACACGAAACGAGGGCAAAGGTTATTCTTGGGCATTCATGAGGAGTTCCCCTGTTGTTGTTTTTGTTGTTGATTTGTTTTGAACAAAGTGCAGCTCTGCCTTAGCAGAGGGAAAGGCGAAAGGCACAGGGAAAGGCGGGTGACACGGGGGGTTTCTGGTCTTAATATGGCCCCTTTCGAAAAGAAAGGGAGCCTTTAAAGCTCATTTGTGTTTTTTTTTGTGCTTTTTACACACAGATACCAGTAGATGAAACAATAAGAAAGCTGGGTCTCCAGCATATTATTGGCAATACTTGAGCTGCGTTCTTGATTTCTCAAGTATCGAACTGGGTAAAAAAAAAAAAAACCACTATAATTAATCACTGAGAGGGCTGGGGGGGCTTTGACGCGATACGATAGCGAGCGCTGATCGGCATAAGAAATGAAAATGACATCATTCACATTCAAACGTCATCCCAATCACATTTTGCAAAAGTGCATGTACTGTTAATTATCCCTCGCTGTAGAATATCGTACACTGCTTCAGATATCTCTCAAAGAGCCCGAGACCAAAAACAATAGGAAACAGAAAAAGAAAAAGGGGTGAAAACACGGTGACAAGTTATATGATAGAGAAGAGAAGTCAATACGGTCATCAGTCGTGCTATTATACATGAGAACCGCTAAGTCACACACCATTCCATCGACAAAGGACAACTTCGCAAAATGATAGACCGCCCAAACAAAGAATAGAATGAGAGTGAGAAAAAAAAAGATGAGCCGAAACATAACTCGAAATGTACGTTAGCTTGAAGCATATATACCAATCTTGCAATCATTAGATGTGTTCCAAATCCGTATTCTTCCAGCCTTGATCAAAGTCGAGCTTATTACATCTGCCGTCTTGGATCAATAACCCCAGTGTTTTCGAGGTTGCCAAAGTTGCCATTCTCGACCGTGGGATACGCCCCTCCACTCATTTCAACCCAGTTCCAGTCCAGGCCCATGGTCATGGAATAGAGATCTGGCGGGAGCAGAGGCTGCTGGAAAGTGCCACCACCAGGCAGTGGTGGCGATTGAATGTCACTATTCAATCCGGCCAAATCACCAAAAGTATCAAAATCCATATCCCCGCCCATCTGGAGATCTTGGCCCCATTGCATCGAGTCAGCTAATGGAGATAGCCCCGACGGCGTCTTATTCACTGCATTCTGGAAGGATGCCCGCGCCGCGACAAACTCAGGCGACAGGGTGTCATGGACAGGCGCCTGGGGCGTTGTTGCTGCCGTCGTGGAGTTTGACTTTGGCGTATCCTGTGCGGAAGAAGAGCCCGGTGTTGAAGTTTTAGCCGAGGCTGCAGCTGCCGTGGCACCAGGCGGCAAAGATTGATTGCGACCTTCAGTGCCTGGAGTATCTGCTGCCTTTCGTTTTCGGCGCGAAGATTGCTCCCTGTCGGCCTTTTCGATGACGCTTTGTGCGATACGGCAAAATTCAGAGCACACGCCCAACATTCTGTGCACTCCTCCTTGCTCTGCCTCTTGGCCAAGCATAGAGAGGAACGCGACGACAAGGTTCATTTGTTTAACGTCTGATTTCGCGCGCGGATCGAGAGGGTTCTGTAGGATATTTCCAAAAAGGGTTACCAGTGCTGAAACTGGGAAGTAAAGAACCAGCCTATATAGTATGGTTAGCTTCTCTTTGCTTGGGATTTTCGAACATCTCTCAGACTTACCAGACACATGAGAAATCGCCTTGGGGAACATATTTGAGCAAAGAGATGGATGCTCGCGCTGCTGCTGTCGTAAGCATAGCAGAAGAGAATATCCTCGGATTCAACGGTCGCACATTCTGGCCTGAGATGGCATAGTTGGCCAGCCGGCTTGTCCAAAAGCCATGGTGTACGGACATACGATGGATCGTGGTCAGACAATTATAGTAGGTAAAGTGCACCATGACGATATGGAGAATGAGCGGTGTATGCGAGGCCCTAATTTCATGCTCAGGACGAAAGTCGATGGGAATCCTGTCCTTCCACTCCTCCAATTGCTGGTCTAATTCTCCAATCGTAGCGAGAAGCTCGCCGTCGGATTGCTTTGCCGCCTTGGCTGAGTACAGTCTCCTGTACACGTTGCTTTCAATAACGGCAAACTCGCACATGACTCGGAACAAGTTCATTTTGCCCTTTCCATCAGCCAAAGGAATATTGCCAATGTTATCTTCCGGATCTGCGTCGGGGAGCTCAACGTTCATATCATCGTCATCCTGTGCGGGAGGGCGACCTGCTCTAAGACAGAGGTCTTTATCTAGCATGTAGGCAATCCAGAACACTCGCTTGCGCTGCTCAATTTCGATCGGATTGAGGTTGAATCCCGTTCCTTTCTTGTGGAGGCCAATGCTATGCGCAAGTCGAATAGAGACAGATATCAAGAGGAAGGCTGGCTGAGGGTTGGGAGTTCCCTGCATGAAGAGCGCCATCCCCAGTAGAGCCTGAACACTCAGCAAATCTGTGTTGCGCATAGCAAGTTCGGAAAAGACGCCCATGGCGTTTTTCAAATAACCCCATGCTTTTTCATCCTCCTCTTGCGGAACTAGGTTACTCATGACACGCAGGCGATGAGCGATGGCCAAAGCACAGTTGAGACTTGCCCACCAACCGGACCCCTGGTATGGGTCATCAGAATATTGACGCTCGACTAAGTGCATGAAAGTTGGCTGATGGAAGAGTGGGAACATGCAGTTGAAATTTTCGAAGAAGTCTTTGAGTAGAGACATTGCTTCGGGCTTGGATGGTAGAGGCCGGAAGACGGGTCGCTTGAAGAGGTCCCCGAATATCTCAGGCTTCCAATTAGTCCATTTATGGTCGTCTTCCGACACTTCAGATATCATATTCTGGAAGGAGTTGTCGCCGGTCTTATGATTGATCCACTGGACGCCCTTTGGTGAGAAAATGGAGAATCCGGACGAAGAGCCTGCGTCATGTTAATCAACATGGACATCGTATGTCTACATATAGCCTTACCAATATATCTCGTCTCGCCAGATTGATTAGTCACCAAAGAGCACATCATCTCAGACAAGGCCTCAACCTCCTCCTCTCCTTGGGCGCTTGCTGGCGTGGCGCCTAGGTTACTTTTGTCCTCCTGTCTCTTTTCTTTGTCTTTCTGTAGACCTGGCGATGTCACGGAGCTTCTTGGAGATGCTGTGGCCTCACTTTCTGACGCAAGATGCGAAGGTGAAGAAGGCCCCGAGCTGTGAGCAACACCTCCCTGCTGTACCTTTTCGGTAAGTCTCTTTTCGAGTTCGGCAAGATCATCATCTTCATTCTCGAGAATGCCTAAGGGGGGGGGGTATAAATGTTAACATCCATGATCACCGAAAAGAAGCGAGAAAAGCGTACCAGCCAATCGGAGAAGCTTTTCCATACGACCCAGGCGGTTCTCCAACGCCTCAATGTACTTGGCACTATGGTAAATGTGAGCATCACACACAATAATGGAGATATTAGATTAAGCGTACCCTTTTGGCGGCGTCCTCTTCTTCTCAATTTGGGTAAAGACACATTCGGTCTTGTAGTTGGTGCAGTGTGTGCATGACGGAAGTTTGCCGTCACACTTGATCTTCTTTCTCCTGCACTGGTCACAGGCCTAGTAAAGAGTCACAAAGATATTAGATCAACATCTCAGGCTAGATCCGGGGGAGGGTGGAAAGCCAGCGTAACACAGATATCAAGCATCTCTCCGGCAGGCATATAGAAAGACTTACTCTAGCAATCCTCCTCCTCTTGGCATCAAGACTGTCGTCCAGCAGCATGCTAGAGTCCGGAAACAACTGGGCCGCCATGTCCGGTGTCAGCTGCGGCAGGCCATCGGCCAGGTACGAGCCAAAGATCTGGGGCGGCTGGTTTGTAAGCTGCGGCGCCACCAACGGCGGCATCTGGAACATCCCCATGCGATCCATGGTGGTGATGGATGAGAAGCGCTGGCTCTCGTGTTCGTAGTTGGAGAGTATCTGGTTCGTCGACGTCTTAATAGCTGTGTATTGCCGTTCTGCGGTGGCGCGGAAGGCGATATGACAGAGTTGAGTTTGGTGAGTGGCGAGTGTGATGTTACGTATCGAAAACGGGAGTACTGGAGTTTAAGTTGCAATAATGGAACAAGATATCTCTCCTCTGTATCTCTTGATGCTTATAGAATTGAGCCAAACAAGAGTCCCACCTTCGAGCGTTGTTGATTCGCACAGGGGGATGTCAACAGAAGGCCGTCGTTGCCGAAATATCAGCGAGTACAAGCATATGCAGTCGGAGGCGTAGCTATAACATCGGAGAGCTGGTAGTGATACTGGGAAGTGCCGTACTGCACTGAGCAGACTGTGCCGAATGAGAATTCTGTGCTACTCGGAGCAAAGCAATAGATTGACAGAATATCTTGGGGGAGAGGTTGACTGGCTGCCTATGGCCGATTGTGTCTGCCTGTCCGTCTGTGACCGTTACTCAGGGCCGCTGCCGAGGGCCGTAAGCGGGAATTAAATACGACTTGCGCTCGAAATAAGGGGAGTGACGCGATGGCTCGCTTCTGCATTAAAAGAAGATTCGGCGAGGCGGTGTTGGGCAGCGCATTTGGGACAAAGCAATCAAAGCTGGGAGAGGACGGGGATGAGGATTCAGGATAAGGATTCAAGTGAGTGAGAGGGAGATCTGATTCGGATGGATGGATTACTGAGCACCGCAGGCTCAGGGCCGCAGGTACTCGCAGGTACAGCATTAATTACAGGCGCCTGGCAGTGGCTTTACCACTGCAGGTGCTGCTGGACTGGGTAAGAGCAAGCGGGGGCGCCTGGAGTTCTGACATGGCTGGCTATTTTCTTAGCGGCTGAGCCCCGAAACCCACTGCGGATGGGATTGAAGGGCTGTGCTGGGCTGTAGTCCGTTGACATCGATGTCTGTGCTAGTTGAGCATTCTCCGCAGCTTCTGGTCCCCTTTACAGGCCTCAGCTCTGCCCTACAGCCAATGTCGTTCCGTAGCGGTCCAGATTAGGGAAACTTACAAATTACAGCAATCAGAAGGGCCGCAGTGCAATGGGCGGACAAACGCATGCCGTTTGATCACGCTGCACGCTGCACTCACACGCACTATTTCTCGCCTTGGCCCGGATCAGCCCACTAATAGCCGAAACAGCGCGTGTGCAGCGACAGACTGGGCTGGGCGCGCACAAAGCACCCAAGACAGCGTGAATACATGTACTTTGCAGTACTTAGTACCAGACCAGTGCTGTCGTGCCCACTAACGGCTAGAGGCCTGGCCAAAGGTGATACCGCTGGCGTCATGCCGTGTAACAGTGCGCCTGACGCCGTCAATGCGCTGCGGACCTGATAATGAATGGGCGTGGTGCGTCCATGTATCAATAATAATGGCTGTGGTGATGCATGTTCCTCTAAACAATGGCACGGCAGTATAAGATGCTATAAGTAAAAGTCAAACTAAAGACAGCTCCCACGTATCTTGGCAGTTCAGCGGGCTGCTGTTATTGACGTCCAGTCCTTGCATCTTTCTCGTCCACGGACCCCTTTCTCTCCTCTTCCAGGCACGGGTTATCGCCTCCCATGCCAGGAGATCCAGTCAGATCCTATCCAAGACGCAACGTCCTGTGACAGCGGAAATAAAACACAAGGCCGTATCAAGGCTCTCCAGTCTATTCTTGTCCCCTGCCTTCTATACTCGAATCGGACATGTTCGGAGTCCGCACTCTACCTCTAGACGCGCGGGCTTTGTCTTCATTCCGAGGTTCGTCAGCCCAGCAGGCTACTCATACAGGTGCTAATATAGTAGACTCCAGTTTACCCTGAAATGCCTGCTTTCTCCGTATCTACCGGTATAACGTGCTCTCTTCTCTTGCGGAGAAGGCCGGTAGTGTAAAGCCGCCATCCAAGCACTATCAAAGCATTGGACTCTGCTAGGAATCTACATATAGACATACATGTTTTTACATGCCTACCTGTGTAGTGAGTACCCACCAGAGGTAAATATGTTCTCCTAGGCCTGTAAGCCGCTTTGCTTTTAACAACATCTCAATTCAAGAAGGAGAAAGAAGACGAATTGCCTCTGTATAAGCCCTGAGCGGCAACTGCGGAGATGGGAGACGAAACCCTTTCAAGCAATCTTACACAAGCGGACCTAGATACCGAGTTTACCAGTGGGCTAGCGGACTTGCTCATTACACACAATAAAGCCTATCGACTACTATAGGCTCAGACAAAAATAAAGTGACAATAGCCCGTGCAAAAATATCCAGCCACACGGGGCCCTTCTTCGCATTCTCCCTCTTTTTTTCTTTCTTTTTTTTTTGTTTCATTGCCCCACCCACCACCTTCAGGAACCAAGCCATCTAACTGCGACAAGATTAAATCAGATGTGAAACACACATACGTACACGTAGGCTCACGCGCAAGATTTCAGACCAGAGTTAAACGTGCTGAACTAATTTGGAATCCCATCTTCTGTTCTACCCCGGCTTACTAAAAGAAAAGAAAAAACCGCACAACGGGTACATGGGGGCAACATCATATGTTCTTCCAAAGCCAAAACTTCAAACCAGCCCAGCCAACCAACCATCTCTTCGACAAATCAGCCCAAACTTTAGAACCACTCAATTGCATTAGTGCCAAATAGCAGTAAACGTTCCCCGTCAGCTTCTTAAAAAAGCGGCTCCAGCCCGAGGTTCGCAAAAGGTCTGGTTCCTCCCTCCCAAAATAGCTCCCAAATGGGACGGCGTAAGCACATCAATATTCAATAAAGAGAGCACGGGCAAGGTCATCAGCCTTATCAACGTCCAAGCTTTGCTCCTCCCCCTCTTTGCCTATCTAGGTAGTCTTATTATATCTATGGCTTTATAATATTGTATCTAAATTTGGGCAACAGTTATGCTATACATAGTTGCTCCGGTTCGTCTTGGCTTTCCCAGCAGCAGAATCCGTCAGTTGATTTAGGCACATACAGCCCACATGGGAATTGATCGAACACAAGCTCATATACCATGCACCCATGACTCGAGCTGCTGCTAATTGCCGGGAAAGGAGAAAAATGTTGAAATGTGGCAGGGGGCAGCTCAAACGCGGTTATCTCGCAGAGTCATCTCGACACCGGCCCGCTCACACGCATCTTTTGTCGTTTCATCAATGTCTCGCCCGCTTATCAGCGCATTTTCACCCACGTTTGTCTCATTCAAAACAAACGCTGAACATGTAGACACAACCCAGCTATACGGTGCTATCTTGATTTTCCATATGGAGCATATATTGCGACATCTGATATCTATGACCACCGCGATCTTTCCACATATCGTCTTTCTACTCACGTTAGCGAGAATGATCCTTGGCGTGCGCTGTAAAGCAAACAATATAGATGCAGTCCTAACATCGCACCGCAGCTCGGGTCCTTGGCGTTCTTGCACGGAGTATGAAGCAGCGTGTATGCAATATTTATAGTATTTTCTGGTAATGTGCAATATCCTACTTGCTACACATAACAAGGATTGCAAGGTGTATAAACATGTAAGAATCGCTCCCCACCGATGCAATTGGACTATCATTAGAAAACGGACAAGAAAGCAAAAGAAAGATAAGAGGCAGACAAGTACAAAAGAAAATCGTCCTCCCAGATTTAAAGAAAAAAATCTCGCCCTTACTTTTCCTCTATATCCTATCCTCCCTTTTCCTCAAAATCAACAGCCCTAAAAATCCGACATGTCCTACGCCAACGCCATCTGAAAAGAGATGTACAATAAAGAAAAAGAAATAGAGTCGACTGAGTAAACACCCAAAGTCGACACTCCTTTAGAGGGGGAGCAGCCCGGTAAGTGCAGTAGCAACAGAAAGGAAATATTCTTCTTAGTATGTTTAAAGTAACATGAAGATGGAGAAAAAGATGAAACGAGAGAAGAAAAAATGTACAAGAACGGAATAGGTATGGGGTATGAACCTGTACAAGTATGTATGTGTTTAACAGATTGACATCAATCAAATGCCCTCTTGGAATTTAGAACCCCTCCGTGGACCGGCGCGTGGTCGTGTCAATGGAGGCGCCAAAGCATCACCAGGGGGAGACGTCGGAGGGTCCGCGAACGGATTCTCTTCTGCAACCACAGGGCGAGCCGGGCTGGATCGAACAATCGGCACGCCGCTATCGGGACGCATGGGAGCTCCTAGCTGTAACCGGGTTCCTGGTCCTCCGAACGGATCAAAAGCTTGCGAGCCTCGATAGTAGTCTGAGGTGCCACTCATGAAACTCGAGCGAGGATCCGAGTACCCATCGCCCCCTACCTGCAAGACTGAAGGCAGCTTTCTGCCAGACACACGATAGAAACCTCTTTCTCCCGTCTCCGAAGAGTTCACAGAAGCAGAACTCCTCTTAGGGGCCAAGCCAGTGAAGGCCGCAGTCAGGCCAGCAGCGCTGTATCTTTCTGCCATGGCGCTTCCGCCGCTACTTCCGCCGCCGCCATTGGGAGCTCCACTGGGAGTGCCAGAGGCTGGAGGCAATTCACGAGACTCCGAGGCAGCTTGACTGGCAGCCTGAGCCGCGTTATTTTGACGCCTCTTCCACCTCAGAGCTACCAAGACCAAAACGAGGAAGAAAGCGGCGCCGGCAACGCCTCCGAGTACTCCTCCAATAACTTGCTTTTGCTGAGGGGAGAGTGCGCTCGCAGTTGAGTTTGAAGACGCGGAGGAGGAAGGCTGCATACTATCTACTATAGACGGAGTAGCACCTCCGCCGAATCCGCCACCGAATCCGCCATCAGTGGCCTGTGGCTCAAAAGAAGAGATGGTTGAGGCCACTGCTTCTGTAAAAGACGTAGGCTCAAAAGAAGAAGACTCCGAGGTTGTTCTTGCCAACGAAGTAGAAGAGTGTTTTGGCGGTGTTGTCGAAGAATGCGATGTTGATGTCGTGTTGACATTTACTGATTCCGCATGAAACATAGAATTAGCTGCACTGGAATGGCTGCTAGGATGATGGACTTTCACGTTGAGGTTAGCATACAAGGAGGTAACGAGCGCAAGAAGATAGAAGCAAGTAAGGGCTAATTTCGTAGTCTTCAATAAAAGGTGACATACTAATTGTTCCATTATGGTGGCCTATTCCCATTGAAGGGGCCGGCGAAGGCGCTGGCGAAGGCGCTGGCGAAGGTGCTGGCGAAGGTGCAGGCAAAGATAATGGTGAAGATGCCGGTGAAGATGCCGGTGGAGGGGCTGCAGGTGATGAAGAAGAAAGGGCGGATGACGAAAGGGATGCCGGAGAAGAAGCAGATATCGACGGGGGACTAATCGTTGCTTGCGAGCTAGTGGCAGGCGACGATGAGACTCCTTTGCTGAGATCTGGGCCAGAACCTGGCGCAGCCGGAGCTGGAGTAGGATCCGGATTCGAAGCAGATATGGTCTTGCCCGTGTCCTTATTGATAATAACGGTATTGGGTACAGCGAACTGAGTCAACGTGGAGAGCGGCGATCCTTGGGTGTCCACGATCTGAACGAGCGAAACGGTCTGTATAACCTCGGTGACGAGGGACGTTGCGGTAGGAGTTGCCTCATCGAGAGACTTTTCGTCCGCGGTGACCACGTTGGCCCGTTTCTTGAGATCCGGGTTTTGGTCGGTGTCGAGCTTGTCACGGCCGGGTCGGGGGCCAGAGACGGCATCATGGGGGTATTGATGGTGCAGATGGTCATGGCCATGGCCATGTGCGTGTCGGTGTTTATATGCAGAATGAGCGTGGGCATGAGCGCCACCACGGGCCTGAAGGAGTGAAGGCTCGTGGCTAGTCATTGTAACGATGTCGGTGCGCGATGCTGATTATGTGCCCGGCAATGACGATTGTGTTGTATTCCCAGGTGTCGTGGGGGAAGAGGAGAGTAAAAATCTAGTTCGCAATTCGTTCCGCTGACGGCATCTTGAGGGTCCTAGATGTATGCCGGTGCCCGTCGTCGTCGGTTTTTTGGAATATCCTGTGGCAACCAATGTCCCTTTACCATCCGTCCGTGCTACTGGAGGATGAACTCAATGGAGGCCAAGATCGCGAGAACGAAGGGGAAGAAAATCAATGGCAAGACGAAAATCCCAAGGACCAGTGCCGTGGCGGCAATTCGTTTCGTTTCGTTTGCTCGTGGTGCGCTGGGCTTCTCGTATCCGCTTCTCCAATGCTAAAATCACTTGTACTGTAAAACTCCCCTTTCCAAGGAACGGCTCAACAACGGTCAACAGAAAAGAAGGCAAAGGTCATAACGACGAAAAATATACAAATCAACGACGCGCGCTCATACGCTGGCCACGATGGAGAAAAGACGCAAGAGAAAGAAAGCAAACGGCCGGCAGACAGAAGCGAAGGAAGGGGCAACAGATGCAATCTCTCCGAACCAGGCACAGACGAACCGGGCCACTGAGATTTGCTGCTACTGCCAGGCACAGGCGCACTAGCATCGAGGTAAGGTACAAGTACAGGTACAGGCACCGGCACAGGCGCAGGAACAGGTACAGGAACAGGAACAAAGCCCTGCCAGAGCACGCCCTTTGGGGATCGCGCCTGGGTCCAAGCCGAGCTGCACGGCGCTGACGAGGATGCCGGGGCTTTTGCCAGCTGGGATGTGGTTAATTATGGTGCCCCAATTCCTGCTTTGGCGTCCTCTGTGCCTGAGAGTAGCCTGATCCTAGCGCACCTGACGCCAGTCCTACCACCAGCAAGCAGGTATCTGGACTTGCAGGTAATTTCGCTTGGTGCGGGTCACGGCGCCGGCGGCCAATCACGCATGGGCAACCGTACGATTCGCGGGTCCAAGCGTCGGAATGTCGAGTGCCAAGATGCACCAAAACAACAATGCAGGTCCTCGAGTCCCTGTATCTGTACCTGTACTAGCGGTAGCGTGTGCTATGGTGCCTGAGCTTGCACATCCCTCTTACATCAAATCTACAGGTACCTTATTGACCACGCTCTGCGATGACGACAATATGCCAGTGAAGCGCTGGCATATTGTTGGGTATGTCCATCTCAGGGCCGGCTGTCGAGGCGGATGTACGCCAAATCTGGGTTGGGATAGAAAGTCAAGCCACGATAACGGCTGACCAGCGGATTGCGTTGCTATTAAAGGACTAACAAACGGGCCACTAATGCACTTCGTATCCTCCTGAAGTTTGTCGAAGCACTTGATAGCGGCATGCTAAGGAACTGGGCGGTGCTAAGATGCTTCAGGCTAGGTATCGTAGCATTGATCTGTAATAGGCCTCTTTGGTGTATCGCCCAAGGGATCCATCTCGGGACAAGAAAGCGAGCGGAATGATACGATTAAGCACAGAGCCCTAATAGAGAGGATGCAGCTGTGTTATATCATACAGCAGTCTAGCTGTTATACATGTGAGTTGCAATTGTTCTATCGAATAATATGAATGCAGGTTTACGCAGTTTCGAAGGCACTAGATTCGAGTATATATATTTTCCATTGCGGTTCTCGACAAATACAACTATTAATTGTCACTTATATTAGTAGCAGTAGCTTGAGAATTTTCTTCTTCTTCTGAAATCTTTCCTTCACGATTTTCTATACACACCGTTCGGTGTTTGCTCAAGGCACGGAGCAAAAACGAATCCCAGGCAAACCCTGCTAGTGCGTCCTAAGTGTGGCATGCAGCTTGCAGATTGGACTGCACGACGAAAGACGGCGGAGACTAGGAGCAAGGCGAGAGCTCCTTGCTAATCTACAGGTTGCTGGAAAAGTGCTAGCACGACGACTACGATTACTGCTAATTTTCAACGATCTTTCACCTATAGAAGCACTTGATGCACGGGCTCAAGTCCAGAGTTATACGAACACGCTGGGGCCATGATCAGGCTTCGGCGCAGCGAGAAACGTGAAGGCGAAATCAACGTGGAAAAAAACTCTCAGCTGCAGCCAATGAATATCCGTTCATTTTAGTACATGTGCAATTATATGCTACTATTTCAAGGCCTGGGTCGGAATGAAGACCCGTCCTAGCCTGCGCAATTCGTTGCTCTTCATGCACCAGCCGCTGTAATATCGCTGCCATTGGCCGTGGCCGAGGCTTGCTGCGACAGCTGTCCCCGCCGTCAATGGCGCCAGAACGGTCACGTAGCGCATGAACTCGTAACGGCTCAGGTACCGGTACGCCGCGCACTCAGGCACCAGGGCCCGGCTGGTCAGCACGCGGCTGCTGGTACGTAATGCTGATACCCTCCGCAACGCGCTAAAAAGGGTGCCCTGAAAGCCTGCCCGGCAATCCTCCGTACGATGCATGACGGCTGGAGAACAGACATTGACGTCGATTGATACTTGACTCTATAACGCTTGTGCCGCGAGAGGCAGCCAGTCGTGTGAATCTCGACAGTATGGCCTCCGCAGGCATCTACCTATTTGTAGCTGGGCATGGGTCGTTCATTCAATCGTATCGATGAAGCAAAGCGGGAGGCTTCCGGGCTCTAACAAGAACTAGCCTCCTTCAGCCTCGTTGATCCCCCGCCCGTAGTAGCATGGCCAATCCACCGCGGCCCTCTAGATTCAATGATGGCAGCGGTGATGCAGTGCTCTCTCCATCTACCTACAATCATTTGATCCTTGAATATAATCATGTTCGTCATTTAACAGATACAATTAAACTATTATGCCATATCCCGCTGCAACTCTTTGTTTGGCCTGAAATCGCCACCACCCTTCCTTCTTTTAGCTACCCCAGACATATAGGCTCTCTCCGGCTATCCACCATTCACTCCATCATCGGCTTCTGTATCCAACACCATGGCATCGCCGCCTCCTTTGCCTCCACGAGATGCTTCTCAGCTGCCCCCGCCGCCTCCTTACTCCGAGGTGGTGGAGTCACAAGGCTCGCTAAACTCAGGCCGAGAGAATCGTTCCCGCCCGTCGATTCTAGACTCAAAAGTCCCTCGTCCCTCATCGCAGCAGTCTCTGGCACCATCAAGATCCGACTCAGACGGTAGACGCACTCTTCTCTTGGTCTATATCCACGGATTCTATGGCAATGACCAGTCGTTCCAGTCGTTCCCCGCGCATGTCCACAACGTGCTGCGTGAGAACTTGTCGGAAACCCACGCCGTCTACTCCAAGGTCTACCCTAGATACAAGACGTATAAATCAATCGAGGTTGCCAGCGATAATTTCAGTGCCTGGCTAGAGCCTCACGAGTCGCCCACAACCGATGTCATCCTCATTGGCCACTCCATGGGAGGCCTATTGGCTGCCGAGGTTGTTCTCACGGTGAGCCATCTCTCATCTGATCGATATCATGTTCGTGTTCTAATACTGCAACCACCTTAGCCCAATCGGATCTCTTCCAGCCGACAGCCCTTGAGGCATCGCATTCTAGGATCTTTATCCTTGGACTCGCCATTTCTGGGACTTCATCCAGGAATTGTAGCCTCGGGACTCTCCAGCCTCTTCCATCCTGCTCCTCCCCTAAACCAGGACGCCGCCTCATCTCCTCCAGCTGACCTGGGGCCTTCATCTCCTGCCTCGATCAGTACTATACAAAGTGGTCCGAGAGATCCCACCTTCGACCCCCCATACTTCAATGACAGCCCATTTAGAGAGCAGCCTTTCCTCACCCGTATGCTTCATTTCGGCTCCAAACATTGGAACGAGGGCATCTTCACTGCTCTGAGTAATCACGTCGCTGCCCACCTGGAATTCGGCGGATGCCTGGCAGACTATCCTGGGCTGAAATCCCGATACAACCAGCTCCGTGCTCTTGAAGATATTGATGATTTCCAAGCCTTGAATAATACCTCGTCCAACAGCTCGCGCAATCGCGTTCGGTTTCTCAACTACTACACGCTGTCTCCCGGCCGCCCTAAACGGCCAGTGGCAGCTAAGGGGAGTCGAGATACGAGTCAGGTCGATCTCTCGGCAGAACCTGCACCTGAGATCAAGATTGAGGACGAGATAAACGATAAGCTGGTTGAGGCAATCATTTCGGCAAAGTTGGAAGACGAAGAAAAAAACCAGGTTGATGCCAGTCTTTCCAAAGTCCAAACTCCTATTACAAATAATGCTACTGATCTGAAGGAAACGCCTGTGGCAGCGGCTCCTTTGGGGTCAAAAGAGGACGAAAACATTGACAATGATACTTCAACTGCTAAGCAAGAAGAGCTGAGAGAGCAGTCTCTTAACATGAACCGGCTATCCATGCAATCTATGCAATCCATGCAGCATCTTGAACCTATTCCCATGGATGATGAAGCCGAACACAACTCTACAGAGCAGGAATCAGAAATAGCTACACCCGAGATCTCAGATATCCCGCCATCACCCCCTATCATCGAAGACAAAGCCAATGAAGAGAATGAGAATGAGAATGAGAACAGTCCATCAGAAAAAGATTTGCTTCCACCAAACCTGGATCTTCCTCCAATTCCCGACCTCCCCAATCCTCCAGACCAGCCCGACCTATCCCAATATACAGACAAAGACTCCCGCAAACAAGCAGAAAAGGAATTCGCCCGCCGCCAGAAAGCCTACGACCAAGCCGCCAAAGACCGCAACAAGGCCATTCGCGAGCGCGAAAAGCTCCTAGACAAGCTCCATAAGAAGGCACAGAAAGAAGCCCAAAGGGATGCAGATAAGCTAGAAAAGGATACCAAGAAGCAGCATCAGAAATCCGAACAAGACAAGAAACGCCTCGAAAAGGAAGAAGAAAAGGCCGCAAATGCAGAGAAGAAGAGACTCGAAAAGGAAGAAGAAAAAGCTTCAAAAGCAGAGAAGAAGCGCCTTGAAAAGGAAGAAGCCGCCGCTATGAAACAGCAGCTCGCAGATCAAACCAAAACTAGTAACGCCGCGGCAGCAGCAGCATCGTCGACATCCTCCCTAGCTGCGTTCGACATCGCCTCTCCTCGTTCTGAGACGGAAGCTGAAACGCCGGGCGGCAAGCCCAAGAAGCTCGGCAAGTTTTGCACCACTCCGCACAAGAACAACGGCGCCATGGATCCTACATGGGTGAGCGTCTTCATGGATGGCATGGATGAGGTGACTGCCCATTGTGGGCTGTTCTTCCCGGGCCCGCATTATGACAGGCTGGTGGGCGATGTGAGCGGTCGGATTGTGAGCTGGGTGCAGGATGATCTATCTGTGAGGGCTGTACTGGAGATGGGACCTGATTAGGGTGGCCGCTTTTGTTAGAGAGATATATAAGAGTGCATTCGACATAAAGTCAGTTACGAGAGCACAGTGAAGATATAATGACAGATGCTGGATATATGTTAGTTTAAGATTTGGATTGATAATGTTGTTTTAACTAGTTTATTGGTATTCATTGCAGTGCGTTTCTTTCATCATTCTTCTTTCCCCCCCACCCAATGTAGAAGTAAAAAGTATTAACATAGCAATCCGTAAGGTACCTAAGGTATACATAAACCTTCATATATACAAATACATGTATATCAAGACAAAATCAATTAACCAGTCAGCCAGACACGCTATTAGCCTTCCACGAGTCTTCCATACAACCGCGCCATCCTTCCGTAAATACAGACACCCAAGTTTATCAAGATTACTCCATAGATGAAAATAAAGAAAAACGCTTGTAAGTTTCAGTAGATGTCCAACTCTCGCAGCTTCACCCTTAAATCCTTCTTCTCCTCGCCAATCCTCGCGTCAATCCCCTTCATAACCGACGCATCAGCCTCGCCTGCCACAGGCACCAAACCGTCATACGCCACGTTCAGCACTCCGAGACGAATTAAGCGGCTTTCGGGATCCCAGTTTGCGCGCCTACATATCAAAATCGTAGCCATCGCCGTGGAGGCGGGCCCCGCCGTCTTCGGAGCCGCTGAGCGATGATGATGTCCATGAGGCTGCTGCGCTGTGCTCTCAGGCTTCCAATGCCGCCCAGACACGAGCACTCCGATGAGCGAGTACTCCTGGCCAGCCGGCACGTCATCCGCGGAGGCAGACAAGACAGTGACGGACGAGCGCCTGATCCAGGCCTCAATGGAGTCGGTGGCAGATTTGCCCAACGCGGAGGCCACAGGTTCAGCGAGAGAGAAGCCGTATTTCGCACCCAGGCCGGCGGCGGCTTTCTTGACCGTGAGGTCGAAGCAGAAGGTCTTGAGACGGAGCATCTCGATCTTGTCGGCCTTGCGAGCGATGGCGTCGCCGTCAATTTCCCAAGAGAGAACCATGCCATCGCTGAAGCCGACGGAGATCTCCATACCTGGCGGCGCAGATACACGGTCAAGCAGCGGGGAAGCGTCGTCCACAAGGTTAAAGTTGAAGGAGTGGCCGGGGGCGTTGTAGCTGTACGTCGTCTGGTTTAGGCGCCATGCGAGCCAAGACCATGAAGGGAATGGGTTGGGGGTATCGATGAGGGAGTAAGGGTCGATGGCGAGGCTATAGGGAAGGTCGTCATGGGATGAGGTGGCGGAGGAGGAGGATACGGAGGAGGAAGGGAGTGGGCGGCTGGGCATCCAGCCAAGGGCAATGGCGAGGCGGTCCGTTTGGCTAACGACCTTGTGTTTGGTGAAGTCGTCCGGGTGAAATAGCGGTAGGCCGAGCAAGTTGTCTACTGGCAGCTTCTCTTTCACAGAATATTCGCGGAGCAGGCCCCTAATGGCGTCCAGGCGGTCGTCGGTGTTGCTGATGCTCTTGGCGAGGTAGGCCTTGATATGATTTTTTATCTTGTTAGGCTGAAGAACGTCGTCGATAGAAGGGGGAAAGACGCGACCAAAGTTCAGTCCCGGTGCGTATTTTAGAGGAAGAGAGAGGCTTTCGTGACAATGTAATGCTTGACACTGGAAGTAAATCTGCGAGGGTGTAAAGATGATCCGTCGTCGCGACAAAAGACCTTCCTGGTAGGTCCATGCGCGAGACGCCCATTTCGATGAAGCCACCTCGAGATCCGGACGAAGAAGAGAGGTAGTAAAAAGGTCGGACTCGGTCTGGATTGAAAGCTGCTCTTCGCGCGGGGCGCTGATTCCGGCAATGCCATCACGAACCCCTTCTCCCGCGGCGACAACGAGAGTTAGTGCCGAGTGGCCGTATATCTGGCCCATGAGTTCGAGCTGCCGCTGGCGTTCAGACGCCCCCTTTGTGTCTCCCTTTCTTGGGATACAGTATCGATCCACCCATAGATAGCGGTATCCGAGGGCCTTGGTGGTGGAAATAGCATCGGTGACAACCTGCGGGAGTCTGCGTGGCAGGGTTTCGTCATTGCCGTTGTCATCGTCATCCTCGCGATAGGTCCCCATTACATAGCTGAGCGTAACATAGTCCACATTCTGATGCATGATGCTGTTGTTGTGGCTGGGAGTGATGCTCTGACATTCAGCGTCCTGGGGTTTGTCGTTGGGAGTCGGTGTTGATACATTCTCCGCAAGAACGACTTTACCCTCTTCGCAGTCAATTAGCCTCAGTCCCTTTACCAAGGTTCGATCCTTGACGGCACAGGGCCCTGTAGTATGATTCTCGTTGCAGAAGTCAATCCAGTACTTTGCGAGATCGAGATCGAGCAGCGGGGTTATCTCTCTTCCCCAAATGACTTTTGGCTCCTCTCCTCGACTGGCTTTCACATTTGCTATGACAAGACCATTCAACTTCTCTTCGATCGGCTCCTCCACTTTTGCTTCTGCAGCTATTGCTCGTGGCTTCAGCTCGGATTCCGCCTCTTCCTTTGGTTCAACTTCGGTGACTGATTCTATGCCCGACCCTACACCCCTTTCAGATGCTGTCTCTCTACTTACTCTCGTCTCAGTCTCAGTCTCAGTCTCAGTCCCAGCCCCAGCCTTTGTTTCCACATGGTCTGTTTGAACATCGACCCCCTTAGCAGGTGCAGCCCTGACAATGTAACCCCACGGAAGCGACCGATTCCTAGTCGTCACTTCGAAGAGCACCGATTTCGCCAGCGGGTGCTTCTCTCCACCGCCTAGCCGCTCGAATGCTAGGCGAATGCGCAAATACGGGGTGTATTTGGTTTTCAAAGCTCTGTCATCCCTTCCATCTGCGCCGCCAGTTTCATCTCCTTCCGGTACAGTGGTGATCATGGAGTGAAAGAAGACACACCAGGGGCATAGGTTCCCTTCCCGCCTCCTTCTCCTCCGCCTCTCATCCTCGCTGAGGTCCTCTTCCTCCGATGTCGATCCATTGCGATGTCTGCTGAGTTCCTCTTCGTCCGGTAATTTTAGCCTCAAGCAGTGTGCCAAAGAAACCCATGGTCTTGCATCCCCAGGCTTCCAATCCAGTAGCCTCGGAAAGTCGATTGCCTCGCAGATATCACATAGTTGTCCCGCGTCCTCGCTCCCGTCGGCCAAAATCCTGCCGGCGCCGTACGTCGGAACCTCCTTTGTGAATACCCGGCTGTGGTTCTCGCCATTCAATGCCAAGCCATCATCGCCGCTCCGCCACCGCCTCGATGTAAGCTGGTGGAAATCTAGCCCTGACTGCAGTCCCGCGTCCCAGCGGTGATGATCATCTCCACCAGATCGCCCTAGCCGCCGCGACAAGATCTTGGAAAATTTCTTCATCGCCATTGGTATTCCTTCTTTCGTTTTGTCTCTTCCACCTCTTCAGTAGGGTCCGTCAAGGCCCAGATTAAAAAAAAAACCAGATATTGAGGTCAAGCAGAGAGGTTCAAAGATACCAACGTAACTCTCTCACGCTCTCTCTTCGCGCTCGCTTCTCACTTTCACTCGCCTCACGACGCTGCGCGCATTTTCGCGTCCTGCCAGTTGCGCGTGTTGTTGTAAGATGTCTTTAATAAAACGTCGAATCGTCCCCTTCTCAAGCAAGCTTTCTTTGAGACTCAGAAAGAGAAAAGGCCCGAAAGATAACGTCTTGACAAAGGAAAGTAATGAGACACTTGAGCCTTGAACCTTTTGAGTGAGATCGGAAGTAGTATCCGCAAAAAGAAAATGCCAAGCCCGATTCCAAAAGAACTAGGTCAAAAAGACAACCCAGATTAACGAAAAGAGAGACTCAGGCGGTCGTGGTAACAGGGCGAGTAACGACGTAAGAGATCTCAAACAAGGTAGTGCCTCAGATATATTAAGCGCAGAGAGAAGCGAGGAAAAAGAAGAAGAAGTCGAGGGATTGACCAGGAATCGAGCAGATGAGACAAACTCTCACTCACTCACTCGCTGAGAGACTAAGAGACGGAACCCCCAAAAATTGAAAAGGTGGTAAAAATGAGCAACCAGGCCCGCGGATCGGGGAAACAGGAGGTTCAAGGGGTCCCACCAGGCTCAGTGCAGTTGTTAAGGATGGATGGCAATATTTCCAAGGCCTAACCTCATTCCAGCTGATCCCGGAAAGCAGCCTCGACGGGCTCGCGAAAGGCAGTAACGCCGGAGACCAGGGCTTCCTTCCGCTGTTGGCGCTCGGTTTGACGGAAGGAGAGATTCTTCTTGTTTCTTTCCTAGAAGGTATTCTCTTTATTCTTCTCTTTGTTAATTCTTCTACGTTGCTCTCTACTATCCTTTCCCGGGAACTTTGGGGGGCTTCTCTCTCTTTCTCCCAAACCCTGCTAAAAGCTCATCATTTTAAATCAAACCACTCGACGCGCGCCGCCGCTCCCACTCAAGATGGGCTCCCCCCATTTTTGTGGCGCTAGACTAACAAGTACAGGTATGCCCTCGCTAGCCCACCGTGTTTATAGGCTGGAAAGAGAGAGAAAGAAGAAAATTCAAATTCAATTGGACGGAGCTTCACGCTTGGCATCTGACGTCTTCCTTCGTTGTTTGATTTTTAAGTTTTCATTACAGTGGCTCTTCGTGGACCCTAAGCTCCGATCAAGCAGACGTCGAAAGCCATTGCTGCCACCCATCTAATTATGTCATGGGCACGGACGCTGGAAATTAAATACCGAGCACTACCTGTACCTAGATACAGGCTACTACTGTGCAGGTATGGAGCATTTGGAATTAGCACAGCGCAAAACCTTGCTTCACATTGCACTAAGCCTATGCTAAGCAGAGGATCTACCGTCGACTACTGCTCTTTTGCTCCATCCTCGCTGCTCGTTGTTCCCGTACGGGGAGGGGAGAGAAGCACAGACAAAAAGCACGTCCAGCGACTGCAGCGCGACTCAACTCAACTGGCTAGTGCCGCTGCCAGCACTCAAAGCCAAGTCTAGGGCCCTGAGCGACAGGGCCTGCCAGGCGTCCGAGCTGTCATTAGCGCTCAAATGCCAGTTGCGCTCCTTGCATGCCCGCACCGCCACGGCGGTTCATGGCGTCCCCCTTACAGTTGAGCGATCGTACCACCTGCCTCTATCAGGCCAAGGTGCCGCAGACAATTTGCTGGGGCCCTGCCGCATCTGGACGGCCACCCACGTCCAGTTCACTTTGCATAATGGCCTCGCAGCGCTTTAGCCGTAGGATGGCGTCTCACGGACTTGGTAGGGAATTTCCCCTCCAGCTGCAGCGTCATCTTGCATGCGATGCAGAATTGCCCGGGCCGCAGACGGAAAAGGGTCCTGAGTCTAAAACGCCGGGCAAGGCTGTCCTGGCATTGGCGCACGCGGAGTGGTAGCATTAGCTTGGAGTCTGGAGTCTTGAAACCTAGAGCCTCTTGCTGAGTCCACGCGTGTCGGTTATAAATAGATTACAACTTGGGGATACCGATAGGCAGTACGGAGTAGTAGTGCTACATGAGCACGCGACCAACAGATGCCTCTCTTGACAGGCGAATTAGAGGCACGGAGCAGTGATAAGACCCTATCACAACTGAATTGGTACTTGTAGGTAAGAGTGGCAAAATGCTGCTGAGACAGCTCCCATTTATCCCAAGCCTATCGTTGTTTATCGTCGCAAGAATCATCCTCAATCTACCTCGTACGGCTGTCGCTCTTTCGCTAGCTCTTTGTGATGCATAAATAAAAAACCAAAGTAAAAAATTCCTCGAAAATGCTCTCCTTATCTAGGCCCTGGTGATACTTTCCAAAGCGCTTCGTTTCATGCTCGTGTCTCTCCTATCACAAGGACTGCCTTCCTTCGTCAAATCTCCTTTTGTTTTCATTCGTTCTTTTTTTTTTACATTGGCTGGTGTGCAAACGCCGCCATTTAAGATGCATAGGCAAGAGTGTTGTCATGTCTAAGCCTTCCAACAACGCCGAGGCCAGTCTCGCCGCCAGCAACGCTGGGTCCAGTCGCATATATCTATACAGTATCTGTGTCAGCGCAAATTATACTAGACGAGCCCAGATTAGACTTGAATCATCATGTTAAAACTTACCTCGCCCTCAATCTTGTCATCCGTCGTTCTAAATACTCCCTTGTCCTTCAAACGGATCTCAATGCTCGTCGTCGGCGCACCAAAGTGGCCGTTGTCGCCCTCCTCGACTCTATAATCGAAATAGGCCGTCTGCGCAACAGCGCCCGCCACCCGAGCGCTTGTCAATGCGTAGACAACTCGAGCGCCAGTGAAGACACGCAGATCAGACAGAACCTTAGAGGAAAGATACGGGGTAAATCCCCCAACACGCTCTGCGGCGTACACGACACGTAGCTTGCTTGGGTCGGTACCCAAGGCCGGTTTCGCTCCAGCAGCGAATGCAGACAGCAGGTTGGAGCCGGGAAGCACACCCTCTTGCGTAAGAGCACGAGTGGAAAGAGCATGAGAGGCTTTAGCGAGAGGAGTGTTGAGCTTGGCAGAGGATTCTTGGTGAATTCTGAGCAAGCTATCGGGGCTGGCAACAATTACCGTCGGAGCGATGCCCTGAGTAGCCAGAACCAGATCTGGCGATCGTCCAGCAACCGAATTGAAAGCAACGGAAGAATTCTGGTAAAGCGCAGCCAAGGTAAGGACAAGGGTATGAATACCGGCCAAAGACTCAGCAGGAAGAAACAAATCAGACGGAGTCAATCTCTCCTTTACGGGGATACCGTGAATCTGAGAAGAGATACCAGCGACCAGGTTGGCTTGCGTAAAGCGCACCATTTCCTCCAGCGTTCCAGCCTTTGTCTGCCAGAAAGTCACGACATCCATGGGAACCTTTTCCAAATCCAGAGGAGGCAGCTCAGTGCTAGAGTCAGCGGGGGCATCCCGAATAATTTCTTGCCACGTGGCGACGTTGACGCTGCCTCCCATGCCCTCGGGGACCTCGTTCCAGTCGAGATGTGCGCTTCCCTCGTCCACAACCCAGATGAGCTGTCTCAGCGATGGGTAGGCCTTGGTAATATCATCAAGAGGGAAAGATCCGGGTGTAGTTACAACCGTATCAACGGCGGATCGTCTCATCATGGAGACAAGCTCTTCATTGGAGACGTCGAAGGGAATCAGAACGGTGGTCAGGTTTGGGTAGAAGCTGCAGGCCAGCAGAGTAACGAGAAATTCGATCGAGTTGGGTAGATAGATGGCAACTCTGATGCCGCCTTGCTCTGCAATGTGATGTCCAATGAGGTTGATCTGTCGGTTGATATCCTCTGCAAAAGAAACAGTCAGCCATCACCATCGTCACCTTGATCGCTTCGGGCATAGATTCCTACCTAGGCGATGCTCAATGACATTCTCCGATCCGAGCACAGTAAACAACTTTCCCTTCTTTCCTTGGTCGTTTCCAGTAGTCGCTTTGCGCCAGACATCTCGAAGGTCGCCGTTTCGACCCCTCGCCCATCGGGAAGCGCCAGGATCCTTGACATCCAGCCCACTGTTCAGCGGCATGCTGTGCGGAGCAGCCTGGTTTCGGTAGACGGCGCTCTCGCCTTCGTTGCGCACCGAAGAGGCGCCCGCCTGTCTCGCAAGCAGCAGCGGGTGCACATCAGGCTCGCGCGACGACGTGATGCGGTAAGTGACGAGGGCAATGAGCAGCGTCACCAGCGCGGTCGAGTAGCCATTCCACTGGCCCACAAAGCCAGTAAGGCCGGCGTCGATGCTCTCGAGGAGACCCATCTCGGCGCCGATGCTGTGTCGTTTCGAGAGCAGAAGGAGAGGAGCTTCAAACCAGAGCTTTGGGCTGTGTTTCTTTGCACTCCCCTCATACGAGTCGAGGCATGTAATGAGGAGGGGAGGGAGAAGCAGGAGAGGAAAGCGAGCAGCTGCGCACAATGGTGGGGTGGCAGAATGACAATGCGAGATGGCCCGGACAGTTGGCCACTAATACCCAAAATAAGCAGATGATGCCCGTGCTGCAATGTACATGTACGAAATACAGCGGCTTTACCACTGGTTTGTACCCAATCCCTCAACCCCTCAGAAGCCTAATCTGACCTGAGGTCTCCGGCTACTACTTCAGTGTAGAGAAGTAGGGGCTATGTTTTAGCAGACAAAGCTTCTGTGAAACTCCTTGTCTGGTAATGGACTAAAAAGCTCAATGTCGTTAATCTTGCTATAAAACCAGTAGCGCATTATCAGCCTCCTCTAATTCTCAGCCATAGGTTGCTCGTACCTCTACATGTACCCAGGCTTTGCGTCTTACCACGGCTTAGTTTCAACGCAAATGGCAGCTCTAAATCCTCCCGGCATCCAGAATCTTCCACAAGGGAGAATGTCTCTCTGCCGCAGTGCAGGCTGAGCGTTGGCAGGGTAGTATTTA